AAAGTCAATAACTTTTTTTAAAGAAATCAATAAAAACCACTTATATAAAAATATAAATAAAAAAAACATCTTAATAATGAACATTGTTCATAAATAACAATTAAAATACTAAAACAAGTTAGTAAAAGTCTATAACTTTTTTTAAAGAAATCATTAAAAATCACTTATATAAAAATATACATAAAAAAAATCTTAAAATTGAACATTGTTCATAAATCACAATTAAGTTACTAAATCAAGTTATAATCAGTCAAAATTTTTTTTAAAGAAATCACTAAATTTATTCAGTCTTTTAGTTACGTTATAGATTATGTTTTATACATATTATAATTATGTAGTTGTAAATGTTTATCAGTTACAACAAAACTATCAGTAGTCAAATATTTATCTTGAAATGATGAACGTATAATTGTCACAGCATTTAAAGTGTTGTCGGCAAGCCTATTTCTTTTTTTAGTTTTCAAATCTGTGAGGATTGAAAAAATTCGCTCCGCTGCAGCATTACTATGAGGTAATGTTAAAATAATTTTGGCTAATTTACAAATGTTATTAAATTTAAAATTGTCATCTGTAAAATCTTTTACTGTTCCAATTTCATGCCACATCTCAGAAATATTCATTTTTTTTAAATTAGCTATTTGTTCATTTGTGAAAAAATAAGGTATTTCACGTAATTCTTCAATTACTTTATATGCATCAAAATAACTTCCAAATATTTCTTTTGATTTATCTAACTGATTGGTAGTAGTATTACATTTTTGAGGGTCAAAACATGTTTCAGGGTTTAAAAATTTAAATTCTTTAAAAAAAAGATTATGTATTGGTAACCTTTCTGCGATTTCTTCAGCAGCTTTGATATAAAATTTCAAACAAGTATTTTTGAAATCAATAAAAATATTTCTAGGAAAAGCTTTGATAAATTCTTCACATTCGGATCCCACAAATACTTCTGATTCAGGTAAAAATTTATTAGGATCAGTAAATAATGCTTGATCAAATATATCTGTTACTAAATATTTAGGATTTATGAAATTTTGTAAAATTGTTTTTAAAAGCCGAATTGAATTTGAATACATTTTATGTTTAGGAAAATTTCCCTGCATTCCGGGAAATTCCCTTCAATATACCATCACTGACTGAAGGTGATACGATAAATACAATTTGTAATAATCTACAATATTGTTTATCTTGATATTGTTATCGCCATAATATGTACAATCCATAACTATTTTTAAATTTTCGGAAGAGTGTGCACGGTTAATCGCGAACACGGATAATCGAAGCACGGTTAATCGAGGTTCCACTGTATATGTAACTTATAACTACTGAATGTAAGATTATACAGGCAAATACTATAACTATAACACTAGAAAATATTATGGTATTAATATTTTAATGTTCATTAAATGAACATTGTAAATATAAAAGGGGACTTGACCATCTTCTGGGAGGTCAGTGTTCAAACAGTGAATGTTACATTATAATTAGTTGGTCTTTTGACTCTTTCTAACAACACTTAGCCGCGTGGTAAAATTGGACTTAGAACACCCAGTTTACCACACTAGTATTTTAAATTCACTAGTAACACATTCCTATTTTTTTATATTTTAAATGTTCATTAAATAAGTTCGGAGTTGTGTTATCAAAATTATAAAAATGCTAGATCTTAGGTAATTTTCTTTTTTAAAATTTGTTGAAAAATCAAAGTTTTGGTGACAAAAATTATTAAAATTGACAGTTTTGTAAAAAAAAAAAGTATTTTAGTCTGTCGACAAGTGTTGGTTCCTAGTGCCATTTTTAACATGACGAATTTCCTGTTAAGCGGCGGTAACCGATTACCCTCACCCTTCAACTACTCCCTCGTTTACGATCAAAACCAGTTATTTTACAATTCATTATTGATGCACTGTGGTACTGTTTAGGAGTCGTTTATCTGAATTTATAAAAACATTTTTGTTATTGACGGGTGATGGGACTCAAATTTTAATTTTACCGTGTTTAATTTTACCATACAGTTACTCTATGATTTTTACACGTAAATAATCATAAAAATATCTATTGATCGAAAATCTGTCAGAAATTTTCATGGAGTTTTTTTTTTTTGTAATATTAGAAAACATATTTGTCACGAAAATGAGTTGACAGCATACGTTGTATTCGAGGGGACAGGACGGACAACCGTCTTTTTAGTAGATGATATTTTAATAGTCGACAAAAATCATATATTTTTTCTCTGAAAAATTAATTATAAGCCAAAAAAATAATGGTCATGAAAAATCTGAGTGTAAATTTAAAGTTTATCAGTCCTGAATATTATTATACGTAGTATAGGGTATTACTCAAGACCATTTTTTGATTTTTAAGACTCACAATGTGTGATAAGAAATTCTAAATTGTGAAGTGCGTAATTAATAATCTTTACACACATTAAATTTCATACGATAAAATTGTGAATTTTACATAAAATGTGTAACACGAATAATACGTTTTGGCGTCATTCAACAGCGTTTTACGAATTTCAGATTGACTATAAATACATTGAAGCACTTTGCTTACCAAGTCTACTCGCACAATAGAAAATATAAACATAAATTTTATATGAGAATTTCGACACTCAATTTTTCTTTTCAATCTAAAATAAAATTTGCTATATATTCTCAGAGAAAAAATGCTTTTACTCAGTGGCGTAGTTTGACGATCGCACCTCCTACAAAAATTAATTGTATATTCTTAATTCTAGATTTTTATTAAACATTTTTAAATAGTACAATGGTTATATTATAGCGTGCGAACATTAAAGTTGTTTCCCTCAGGAGTATATGCGGGTAAATGTGCACACATGAGCAGTGTTTAGATGACCGACAACATCGTCCAAATATTGATATTTTATTTTTAGAACTAACTGCATGTAACTCGTCATTGTGGGTTGCTATCATACTATGTAGTTGGTACTTAGTTAAGTTAAAACACTGGATATAATTGAAATAGTTGTGGAATTAATCATTTAAATTTTAGCTGATTGTAAATCGATTCTTTTCGTCCGATAATAAAAAAAAGAAGTTTTTTTATATCTTTTATGCAGCTTTTTACAACAATCACCTTCACAGAAATCTTTTAGATTTTAGTAAGACCGGTTTTACCTTGCAAATAGTTAGCATGGAGGCAAAAAAAAAAAAAAATCAGACAAATTTTAAATTATTTTTTATTTTTTTTTTATGGGGGGGCCAATTTGATATTTTTTTTGGCTCTATTATATCAGACTTGAGAAACCTTTTAGGAAAATGAGGATCTTCAATCTCCGGAAGTAAACACTCCATGTAAAACCTACTAAAATATTAGTGACTGTGTTTCACAAAATACACAAAACGTAGTGAAGTTTAAATATCAAAGTATACTGATTACAACACTATGGTTAAAAATTTTAACTTTCAGTGTAACATTATAATGCACATTGAAGCAAGAAATAAGAGTTCACTAAATAAATTCATACTTGGTCAGTATAAAATTTGGATTGATATTACCAAGAAATAATTTACATAAACAAATGTAGATATGCACACATTTGTTTATACCGATTATCAAACACAAACGGATATAGGAACCGTAAAATAAACGCCATTTCACATTTTATCAAAAAAATCTAATACCGCTTCATTTTTCTATCATTTCGTTAAAATATAATTTCCAAAGAATTATTATTTATGACAAACTTTAAATTAAACTAGGCATAAAAAACCTTGTGTATGCAAAAAATATAAATTAAAAATGTTTATCTCTGAATTACAAAAATAACTACTTGGCGATAGGATCAATTGTACACAATTGGGGTAATATTAAATGCTTGTGTAGTGGCTCGTGGGTGTTGATGGTGGGGATGCGACTTTAAATATAATACCACTAGTCATGGGTATAAAAAATGTTCAAATTAAATATAATAAAATAAAATACAACCCACATATTATTATTTTAAAGGTCGCAGTAGAAAATAATAATAATAGCGATTATACTATGATATAGTGCTGAGCATTATATTGACCAATCCGGATTACGAATTACAATTATTTAATCCGGATTTCGGATCAATCCGTTTTATCCGGATTCACGGATTCAATCCGTTAATTCGGATTTCGTATTCAATCCGTTGACTCGGATTTCGGATTCAATCCGGCTTCTTTGTTTATGAGATAATCAGCTATTTTTTCATTATTATCAACCTGAATAATGCGAATTACGATCTCAGATCAATTGAAAATTGACTGTTATAAGAGCCTTAATAGCAAATACACCCGGGTTTTCGAGTTGTTCACAATATTTGACATCTACCTGTGCAGTAAGAGCTAGAATTTAGAAAGAATCAAGTTGGCATTTATTATTTTTATTAATATAAAAAAAGAATTTTTATGTGCGTACATAATATGTATAGTATATTATACTTGTGTCAAAGTTAAAAAAAATTATTAATGAAGTCAAAAATAATAAAATAGAATATTAAAATAAAATAAAATAAGTAGTATATTGTTTTTTTAGTTTTGAAAATTTTTAACCAAAATTGTTAATATTTCTTTCACATAATGCTAATTTATAATTATTGTAATTTAGCATTATGTGAAAGAAATATTAACCATTTGGCTGTTTCACCAGCCAGACAATTTCTTTTAGAAGTTATAATATTCCCCGCTGTAGAAAAAGCTCTCTCTGAGGGCGTAGATGTTGACGGGATACATAAATATTTTTTAGCAAGTTTTGATATCACTGGATATTTCTTGTCATTTTCAGCCCACCATGTTAATGGACAGGCATTCTTGTTAATACAGTTTTCTTTTAAGTATTTGTCGAGCTCATTTTGTTCAATTATATCTTCACCATTATGATTTTGGGGAAATAAAATATCCAAAGCAGATACTACAGGGTTTGGCTGATTGGTAGTATCATCAATTGAAGAATCTTCATAATTTAAATGATGCATAATAAAATCTTTTAAGGTAATTAAAGTATCACTATCGTCATCAAAAAAATTTTTATAACGTGGGTCTAAAAGTGAAGCAATATTTAGAAGAAATTTAGAATCATTGTGCATTTGACTAAAAAATCTTACTTCGAACTCTTGGGACAATGTTTCTTTAAATATTTTAATTTTATGTTGGTCAGATTCGTTGGGAGTCAAATAGTGTTGGACAATACTTTTTAAAATTGGATGTACAGTTGATATTGTTGGAGTTGTTGCAGATGATAAGACTTTAGTAACAAGATCGAAAGGCTTGAGCACTTTAACTAGCTGCTCCAATAGCTCCCATTTACTTTCGCTGAGTTCCAGTGATATTGCTGTTGTTCTAGTTGTGGTATTACGGTCATTTAAAACTATGCTTATACATTGTCGAGATTCGATAAGTCGTTCAACCATTGCATAAATTGAGTTCCATCTAGTTTTAACAGACTGAATTAATTTTTTTTCTGGCATTTTAAATTTTTTCTGTGCTACTTGAAGTGCTTTGATTGCTACTGTTGAGTGTTTGAAATGTGAAACGATTGTAGATGCAGTAATTAGAATTTGTTTTATTTCATTTTCTTCCAAACCTTTGTTAACACATAACTGCAATGAATGAGCGAAACATGTCCTACTTTTAATGTTTGGAGCCATTGTAGTAACGGCATTCTTAATATTTACCGCATTGTCATGCACAATACACATAGTTTTTGTATCAATTTCCCATTCCTTCATAATATCCAATAATTTTTGTTTTAAATTTATACTGGTATGTCGCTCATCCATTAATTCAGTTGTAATAATATAATTGACCATTTTCCAATTTTTATTAATGCCATGTGCCGTAACTGTTATATAAGACTCTATAGCTTTACTGGTCCAACAGTCAGTAGTTAGTGCTATTGAGTCTATGTTTTTTATTTCATTGGCTACTTTATGTCTTTCTGTCTCGTATAGTCCTTGAATCTTCCTTTTGATTGTAAACCGACTTGGTATTTCATAATTTGGTGATATCTTCTTCATAAATTCAATAAAACCAACACCATCGACTGTTGATAGTGANTCATAAATTCAATAAAACCAACACCATCCACTGTTGATAGTGGCAGCATATCTTTGGCTATAAATTTTACAAGGCTGTCTGTAATTTGCTCTTGTCTTTTGGCTGATACAGACGGCGAAAAGAACATTTCAGTAATCTTTGGCTGCATTAATACCCCTAAGTTTCCAGATTCTGATACTGATGTAGATGTTGATGGTTCAGTATTCATGCTATTATTTTGCTGAACACTATCATTGTCATCCTCTTCTAATGATCTAAAAGCATAATTCAGTTTTAAATTTAAATGTATCATAATTTTTTTTTATTTTTTACATAGAAATTGTGAATTATGTAATATGTTGAATACATCAAAATAATTTATGGCTCATATTGGTAATATAAATATACCCAAATAAAATAGTTACCTTTTTTTTGGTTTATCACGAGAAAGTCCATCCATATTGTGTTTAATTCTCATGTGATTCCATAATGTGCCTGGTATATAAGTACAAATACAAATTATTCAAAATTACAAATAGGTATTTAAAATAATAATATTGTCAACCACTTAAAGGACTACCCAACCAAAAAACAAGTTTTTTTTTTAATTAAAGAAAAGAACAATAATTTTGGTGATGACATTTTTTTTAGACCACTCGTTGTTGACTTACGGGCGCACAGTGTTCCAATTTATCAAAAACCTGGCCAAAATCCTTTTTAAAAATTTTAATTTTTTTTTATTTTTATGATTGGTATTTATTATACGAAAGCTGAGCTCTTTAAAAAGGTAGCACTTATTAAGTTTTAAGCATTAATTAAAAACTTTATTAAAATGGGAACATTAGAGGGGTCGTTAAAAAACTCTTTGGCAGAATTCCAATGAGTGCACCCCCGCAATTGATTCGAAAAAATAAAAAAAATATCGTGTAACAATTTCAAATCGATTGATACATTTTAAACCCGTGATTTAGCCATTTACTTTTTCCCATTTAATTAACATGGGATTTTATGTATCTTGCAAAAAATCACAAAAAAAATAATGAAATATGATTTGGAAAAATCTGAAACCTCTCAGATCTTATCTATATTGATAGTACTTTAAATTGCACAAAAAAAAATTTACGAAAAAAAAATTTCAAGAGTTCTATTGCTACTTTTAGAATACCATTTCTTTATAATAGACGCATTATAATTATGACAAAAATACGTTTTTAATCAAAAAGTCATAAAGGAAAAAGTTATAGGACTTGAATGGAGTAACACTATGGTAATATTGGTTTTGGTCCAGCATCTCAGTTACGGATGCTGTGGACCACTCTTTTACCAGATGAGTTTGTTATTTTTTTAACAAAAAATTACTCATAAAAAAGGAACAACTTCTTCCTCTAGGACACACCGCAATGCCTTTCACATCAACTTATAGTATCAGTTATTTTAACAATTAAAAAAAATCGAAAATCGGGGAAAATTATATTGAATAAAACATAATATGTTTTACTTTCAAAATGCCTCATAAATAATNACTTTCAAAATGCCTCATAAGTAAAATAAGATATATTGATGTTTCCATAGTTATAACAAATTAAATATAGCGCTCCATAAGAATTGTATGGCCGCCGCCTCGGTAATGGAATCCGTGACGTCACGCGCCTCTTTAATACTGTTATTGTTTTTATATAAATAAGTTATTGTTTTAGATTTCTAGAATAAAATCTTTTCATTTTTATTACACCTATTACATATTATTATGTTATTGTAATTTACCTGTACTCCCTGAAGTTTTGAAACTTTTTCCACAAGCATTGCAAAAAACTAAATGTTTGTTCTCTTCATCAACGCCTTTCGTAAAACTCGCCCAAATTTGAGACATTTTTTAATACGATACGTACTAAGACAGTACTACTAACGTAATGCCTTTTGCCTGCTATTAAATATTGATAAAAGTACAATTGATATCTACGTGATATGTGATATCACGTAGAGCACAACACGATATTTATTAATAGCACTCCTGAACAATAACAATTCTCGCTATAATAGAATAACCCATGAAGATTTGTTTACATTAAACCGGATTGGATACTTTAATCCGGATTGAACGGATTGTCACTTTTGTTTCAATCCGGATCGATCCGGATCGGTAATCCGGATACGGATTGATCCGGATGTGGTGCTCAGCACTACTACATACATATCACTAGGTATTATTATAATATATTCTATATATTATAAAAAATCTACTTTAACATTTAATAAGCGCTATAATTTGAAACATATCATAATATAATCTTATAATGTTTTATTATAATTACATAATTATTTTGTTTTGTATTATTATATCTTATATTTTATCTTCTTTATTAATGAAAATAATATGTAACGCACAGCATAAAGCCGGGTTTCCACGACTGGTGTACTTGTCAAATATTTGTCACTTGTGTATATTTGACAAGTCGTCGGAGCACTATACTTGTACAATTATTGGTCACATGTCAGTTTCCCACGGATTGTCAGTAAATGTGACACAAGTCAAAGGAATTAATGGCTTGACAAATTTACACTTGTAGTTCACTGGTGCATATTTGTATACTTATAAAGTACTTGGCATTTGATCCAGTTGTAGGAATAGTCCACTTGGCTTTTGTTTATTACTTGTACAAGTGTACGTGTACTGGCATACTTGTCAAGTAACCAGTCATGAGAACGCTCTACTTATTGATAATTAGACGATTTGGCAATTATACAATTATTGGTGTACTTGAAAAGTATATCTGTCGTGGTAACCCGGCTTAATAGTCAGTAGTAGAATGATATGGCGCTCCAAAGTAATATTAGACAGCCGTAAAGATGCGCACATGCTATTTGGAATGATTAATAGAAGGGATTGAAGAGTTCGGTTGTAAAACATATGAAAACGCATTCTATTAGACATATCGTTGTTTTGTTTGTCCGTATGACTACAGACTATATGAAAACTATTTTCATATATTCTGTGGTATAGCGTTCTATTAAGGCTTAACACTTCCTTTGCGTTTTCTATAAAAATATGATCGAAATGTATAGACCACTAGAAATGCTGATTATTCTTAAAAGACCAAAAAATCTATCTATTGCGAGTTAAAAAGGATCAAATATGATTTTTTATTTTTTATACAAATGATAGATATTTGAACGATTAATAAAAGGTAGACTGTAAGAAATATATTTTTAATTGATTTATAAACAAATTAGTTGTCATGTAAATTTTTACATTACAACAATTAAATTTGTGGAATAACGAAGAGTCATTTCTATCATCCACTTAGCCAATTATTATAAGTAATTTTATGCTCGTTTCTTATTCTATCTTATCTAGTCATTTCACTCATCCATCTAAGCATTATCATCTCTACTACACTCATTCTCTGCTCTACTTTCTTATCAACCGTCCAACACTCTGAACCATACATCATAGCTGGCCTCACTACAGTCTTGTAGGATTTACCTTTCAGACTCATTGGAGTTCTTTTATCGCATAAGACACCAGACACTCTTTCCATTTCAACCACCCGCACTTAAATGTGTATCTTACATCCTCGTCAATACCACCACTCTTTTGCACAACTGACCCTAAATATTTAAAACTCTCCACCTATCCAATCACATCCTTGCCTATTGTTCATGACCTCCTCATTTCACCTACCTCGTGTTCTCCTTTGTCAAACTCGTACTCTAAATACTCTGTCTTACTTATATATCTTTTTACGCTGTTGTAATGATTGTAAAAAAAACACAAATTATGTAAAATTTATATGGATTTTATATAGTTTGAATAAAAACTATATGTATAATCCTGTACAGTTTATAATAATTCTAATTCATATAACCCATTATCATTATATACAACGTTTATATTAAACCGCTAAAACGTTTTAAGATAATTTAAAGCAGTTTGAAAAAAATTTAAAAAAATTAGGTTTTAAATTCAATTTCTGAAACAGTTTTTATATAAGATATAATTCAAAATGTTTTACATAAAGTTCGGTTAAATTAAAATGCTAATAAGTAATCTCTGTTTATATAACTAATTTAATACCGTTCTAAAATAAATAAAACCGTTTAGATGATACAAATAAAAGTTTATTAAAACTAACATAACAAAATATCATATTAAATATTTTTTAAATCATGATAATTATCACTATTCTTAATAACCCAGAAAAAAATGTATTGTAGACACTTGCCTAAAACTAAAAAAAATATGACTGTAGATGTACCATCATCTCGTTTTTCACATTAGGTATGACATCAATTTCCACACGTAAAAGATGAAAGCTAAATTAATAACAGTGTCTAACAGATAGGTATACTACGAAAATAGTCTATCCTGATAGACTAAATTTAAATTGATAACTTCATATAATAGATATTGAAGTTACAAAGATAGCCGTTATTTTCAAAAAAAAAAATAATAGTAATAATTAAATGAAAAATGCAAATAATAATTAATCTTATAAGGTAGTTAAACCCTAAAGTTATTTTCGATTTTTTAAAGTCGTTAAACTTAATTCAAATCTCTTGTTATTTTCTTTTTTCAGAGTTATTATGTCATTAAATCAATTATTAATTAAATTGTTAAATTATTAAATATTCAACTTAATACATTTTTATGTTGATTATAACTGCATGGCATGATGTTTTTTTATTAATAACTAAATGGTAATAACAATGTCACATGGGTAAAATTTTTAATAGTTACAAGAGAATAAATCCAAAGGTTGATATTTTATTTCATACAGATTAAATTTTATATGTATAAATATTCTGTTAACCGATATCAAATTTATTCCACTTGAACTTTCATAAAAAAATCTGTATCATTTTTAAACTAATGTAATAAATAAACAAATACAAAAGTTTTTTCTTCAAAAAATCTTTAAAAAATATATACATATTTTGATAATTCCCTGTAATAAACTCTTAACGCATTGTATTCTTTGACCAATAATAAAATAAAAATAAATAATTATTGTTTATACTAAATTTATTTATAATTGGCTGATACATTTTTTTAATGAATTTTTACAATTAAGTTTCCTTGACAATTAGATGTAAATGTTGATTTTATCGACATTTGAGTTCACTTCGTTTTATCTCGTGAAAAATAAACTATCGTCTTGTGTAAGTATTAGGATTTATTTAATTAGTTATTAAAATGGCAAGTGAAAAAAATATTTTTGGTCAAACAAATGAAACAAACTTACATAAGGTCATACGCAGAGTTGAAGAAATATGGAATCGTCCAATTGTGTTTAAAATAATTCAAATAAAGGACAAATATCAAAAAAGTCAACTAAAGGTGGAAGAATTATCTGTAAACACTATTAAGATTAATAGATTAAATAATTAAACTAATTATTTCGAACAGAAAAAAAGTTTTTATTATAAAATATAAGAAAAATTAATAATAAGGTCTCTTATTCATATATATCAATAATTCAGTCGCTTTACTTTAATTTAACTATTATAATATTAAAAAACTTTTTCGAAATTGATTATTTAATTAATAACTATTAAAATTTTATTCAATTTGCAGCAATTATTAACGAAAATATTTATCCTATAACAAATTTTATTATTCCTAAAAAAAGCACTTATCGAAAAACGAATAAAAATGATAAAATGATTTCAGAAAAATTGGTAACTATAATTATATTAATATATTATTATATTAATAATATATTATTATATTAATATATATATATATTATCAAATCTATAAATTATAATTTTGTAAAATTGTAATGTATTCGATTTAGCTGTGTAATTGGGATTTATCTGATTCAAAAATATAAAATAAATAATCAACCCCCTTAATATAATTGCGATAACATAATGTTTAATATTATTCAGGACTGCTATTTTTTCAATAAGATTTTTATGAGAAATTCAATATTTATCGAAAATAATAATATAATATTAAATATAGTTTATTTGTTTATTTAAATATCTCTTTGGTAGTCTAGAAATTGATACAGCGAGGAGAATTCGGAATACTTATTAAGAATGAAAAATCTGGAAAATATAAAAATAAAATTTTAAATTCAACAGAAAAAAAATATTTAGCAATTTCAAAAGACAATCCGCCATTAATTCCAGCTGATTTATTAGAAAAGGTATATTTTATTATGCTTTTTTCAATAAAAAGATTTTAAGGTATACCCTAAACCATTTTTGGACTTTAAACAGATTTTTTAAATATATTTATCATATAATTAAATATATTTTTATAATCCGTTAAGAGTTTTCATAAGAAAAACTTGCAATGCAAAAAATCCGAAATAAAAAATCAACTCTTTGAGATATCTTCTAATACTACTGCTCGATCAAATTTAAAAAGAAATTCATCTGAAGAAGATGAAAAAGTCATAAAAAGTAAACAACTTTTAAAATATAATTAATTTTTAAAAAATAATATAATAAACGTTTTGATTTTTGAAACAAATATGTAATATTTTAAAACATAAATTATTTTAGAGCTGAAAGTTATTCTAATTCTTTGACCTTAAATACGCCGAATGACGTAAATTTACTTGCTTTGTCCACTGTGGAAGTAATAAAAGTACCAGAGAAAGAAAAAGGTAATTAATTATTTAATCTATTTATTTTATATAAAATAAAATAAAAAAAGATTATTTATTAAACATAATTAATAATAATACGATAATTATAATATGCGGTATATTGAATAGAGGTAATTAGGTACTTGTACTTGTAATCCCTTATATATTAAGTTGTATATTTAATAAATGAGTAATAGTATGTTAAAAATTCAATTGCCATTTACTATAAAAATAAAACCTTAAACATTTTATTAAATTCAAAATATGTGTTCCCATTTGAAAAAAAAACAAATTTGACACCCTTACAAGGCATAATGGATGAACTTAAAAAGGATTATATAGTTAATAATTCAGAATAATATGTAACTGAAGGTAACCATAAAAAAAAAGTTTAAATTATTTTTATTCTGTATGCCATTGAGTGGGTTATGATAAAAAAATCACTCTGTATACTTATTAACAGAGCATAAATATTACATCAACGTCTGAATTATTCATGGGTCGCAGCATGATTTTGTCTTCTCCTATAAATTACTTCTATTTATTTTAACAAAATAGAATACGGCGGTTTCAAGATTACAACTATTAGAGGAAATATGGGGTTTTTAAACATATTTTCAAGTTTGAAATTGATCTTGTATGGGTGGAGAGCGTTTATGATAACAGGAAGATATTTAATTTTAATTTCACCACAATTTTGTGATGTCTAACACTAATTTATCATTGGATTATTTTATTATTATCAGTTGGGTAAATGAATTTTTCATTTTATTATTGGTTTAATTTAGGTGGTTCAATTTAGATAATATTTATTTTATATTTTTATATTATAAGAAATGAAAATCAATAAAAGAAACTTTTACTAAATTTTATATAATAAGTTTTCTGTTTTTAATTTGTTTAATTCATATATTTAATCTCTATAATGTTTATATGTTCAAAATAAAGTGACAACAAATTATGAAAACAAAATATGTTAATATAATTTGGTACCAAATACATTTTTTTAAATAATGCAAAACTGTATTTGTGTAGATTACCTACTATATTTTTTTCTAAATTATTGAAGAACAAGTTATTTTTAAATATAAAATATTTAAATATCGTCTTGGGTCTATATAGGTCTGATTTTTTTTGCTTCTATCACTTTTTTGAATCTAAGGTTCTTATTTCATAATATAGCGTAAAATAATTTTCCATAGTATATTTATGTAAAACTAAAATACTTTTAAGCCTTATCACTGGTCTAATGTATTACACACTCTAGTCTTTTTTATCACTAACTAATTATTAATAATGGTCTTGTCAACAAATAAAATAGTATATATGTGATAGGTGTTTTATTATCTTACCGCCTTTTGGAATATATACTTTTCTACAATATTATTCTCGATGAAAGTTGAATAAAGATTCTTTAAGAGTTAACAAATGTGAAATGCTTCATTGTTCTTAATAAAAAATATAAAAATTTATTCTCTTAATTTTTAATTTTGAACTTTTGAAATGAATATCTTTAATTTACTATGACACATAACATCTGGTATGTAATTATTTACTGTATTTTTGGGTGTGAATCAAATTTATAAATTTTAGTTCTTTGATTATTTCTAGATGAAATTTTTTGATTTTGCAAAAAAACTGTTAAATTAGTATCTCAAAAAAAAAAAAGCAAATAAATATGTGCCCTATTCAAAGTAAGAAATCTATTTAAGTACATAAATCCTTACATTTGATCAATTTTATTTTTGCTATATAATATATACAGCTTAAATAAAAATAATATTTATTCTAATTTATCAACAGTATTTTAACATATAAAACAGTTATATCGCTGTTATTAGAAGTTTTATACAAAGATAATATTTTGTTGAGAAAATAACAGTAGCTGTTATTTTGAAAGTAACAATAACACTGTCATTATAACAGTTTGTAACCATTATTCAGATTCATAACAAGTTGTCATCACTAACATTGGTATAACTTACATTTTTATCGTCTTCAGTATCCCAAATGGTTATTGAAATACCAACTCAAAAATTGTATATACAATTGGTCACCATGTTTTGTAATCACTTGATAATTGATAAAGGAAAAACCATACCTTCTCTTCACCATCCGGTGCTGAACCTCATTGTGAATGTTGATTACTAATGTGCTTATACATTAAATTGAAATTTTACACACGTTTTTGTACTTAAATTTTCCAGTTTATAATTACTATTTGCACTTGAACGAATATTCCTTATTAAATAAATATTATGGTAAATGATAACTTTTCAAAATAACAATTTTATTTGAATTAGTGTAATTTTGTATGTAGGCGTTCTGATATTAATGTATGATTTTGTACTTTTTAAAGGTTTCTTTAAATCCAGTTCGTATTTTAAAACATCAAGCTGAAGAAGACAAAGGAGAAAATGCACGTTTATCTAGTTTTATTGGTGCAATTGCTATTGGAGATTTAGTAAAAAGTACTTTGGGCCCCAAAGGAATGGATAAAATATTAATATCAGCTGGACGTGGAGGAATGGATGCTAAAATTGAGGTAACAAATGATGGAGCTACAATTCTTAAAAGCATAGGAGTAGATAACCCTGCTGCTAAAATTTTGGTTGATATGTCCAAAGTACAAGATGGTGAAGTTGGTGATGGAACTACATCTGTAACTGTATTAGGTATGATATTTTCCTAACTTAAATTATTCTTATAATAAATATTTTATGGTATTTGATCTATTTCTTTGAATTTTATAATTTAGTATGTATTATCATATTAATAGTGGTTAATTCATTAAAGCTTGATTGAGCAAATTAAAATCATCATTTATAAGAATCGTTATCAAGTTAAATTAAGCTAGTAAATAACTAAAACATTCAAATTTTTTTTATGTATTTTTATTTAAAATGTTTAGAATTAATTTTCTTTAGAGTTATTACCAAAAAAAAAACATGGTTTCTTGTACAATTGTTATGTAATTAAAATATTGGCACTCTATTATGTTTTAAAAATATCTCTTCAATATTTAAACTTTTTTACTATCAAATTTATGAGATGTCAAACAATTCATTATAATTATCACATTAAAAAAAAATCACTAAAAAAATGATATTTATTTATTGATGTAATTTATTAAATCATCATGAGTAAAAAATATTAAATTTATTAAACAAATATAATGTATGACATACTATAATTAAATGATTTACAAAATTTTACTATAGCTGCTGAACTATTACGTGAAGCTGAAAAGTTGGTAGATCAAAAAATCCATCCTCAAGTAATTATTTCTGGTTGGCGTAAGGCAACCAAAATTGCTCATGATGCACTACAGGCAGCTGCAATGAATAATAGTAAAAGCGAAGAAACATTCAGAGAAGATCTTCTCAATATTGCTCGTACTACCTTAAGTTCCAAAATATTATCTCAACATAAAGAACATTTCGCTAAATTATCAGTTGATGCTATTTTACGCCTTAAAGGCTCTGGAAATCTATCAGCTATACAGATAATAAAATTAAAGGGTGGCTGTTTAGAAGATTCATTTTTAGATGAAGGTATTTTATTCTTATAGTTATTTTGAATAATTTAAAAATACATTTTTTTACTTTAGGATTCCTTCTTGACAAAAAAATTGGTCAACATCAGCCTAAACGTATTGAAAATGCTCGTATCTTAATTGCAAATACACCTATGGACACAGATAAAATTAAAGTGTTTGGTTCTAGAATTAAAGTCGATTCTATGGCTAAAGTAGCAGAACTTGAATTGGCAGAAAAAGAAAAAATGAAAGATAAAGTGAACAAAATTATTGCTCATGATTGTAATGTATTTATTAACAGGTAAAATAAAAATTTGGTTGTTTGATTACCAAATAATTTTTATAAATTTTATTATTAGTATTATTACTATTATTTTTAATTCAAAAATTTAATTGTATAAATTTATTTTCTAACATCAGTAGAATATAATGAAACTTAAAAATACATGTTTCATTTATACATAGCTTTTTATCTACTGATTATTTTATTGTACTCATGCATAAAATTTTTCATATAGTTAAATTTATAGTTTTTCATATAAAAAAAAAATAATTTAAAACACAAGATTAAATTTAATAAACAGTGTATTAATAAATAAAAATATTATATATTATATAAATTAATATATAATTTACATTTAATAAATCTTTTCTTTTTATTTTTTCTTGCCTTAATCCCAATTACTTGTGGTCGTTCACCCTTATCCTAAACTTCTACTTGACACGATCTTCCACATCATCTACGCTCACATCAGCTATCCTCATCGCATTCAATAACATCCCTCCATCTCTTTTCTTTTGGTCTTCCTCTACATTCATTTCTGTAACTGTTCTTACAGCTAATTTATATTTAATTAATAATGATAATAATTATTGTACATTTTTTTTTATTTGAAAACATGTTTTTTCAACTTTTTATATTATTTCATTTCTTGTAAATTATAAATTGTTTTGTATTTTTTAGGCAATTAATCTACAACTATCCAGAACAACTTTTTGCTGATTCTGGTGTGATGGCAATTGAACATGCAGATTTTGATGGAATTGAACGTTTAGCTCTTGTTACTGGTGGGGAAATTTTATCAACATTCGATTCTCCTGCCACTGCTAAATTGGGAACATGTAAACTCATTGAAGAAACCATGATTGGTGAAAGCACATTATTGCGTTTTTCTGGTGTAGCTCTTGGTGAAGCTTGCACTATTGTTATTCGAGGAGCAACTGAACAAATTATTGATGAAGCTGATAGGTCTTTACATGATGCCTTATGTGTACTTGCATCTACAGTACGTGAACCTACTATTGTGTATGGAGGAGGTTGCAGTGAAATGTTAATGGCTAATGCTGTAAGTGCTGTAGCAGCAAAAACTGCAGGTAAAGAAGCTGTAGCAATGGAAGCTTTTGCTAGAGCTCTTCAATCTTTGCCTACAACAATTGCTGATAATGCCGGTTTAGATTCTGCTCAACTTGTACATGAGTTGAGAGCAGCTCATGCCTTAAACAAAACTTCAATGGGACTAGGTAAGCTATTTAAATTTTAATAGTCCAAAAAATATTATTTACTAAGTATATACTTTAAGTACTTACATGTTTATATGTTTTAGATATGGAAAAAGGTTCTTTGGGCTGTATGCGTGAGAATGGAATTACAGAATCTTTTGTAGTGAAGCGACAAGTATTAGTTTCTGCAGCTGAAGCCGCTGAAATGATCCTACGAGTAGACTGTATTATTAAAGCAGCTCCAAGACAACGAGTTGAAGATCGTGGTCATTGCTAATAATTATAAGTTCTAATATATTTATAACATTAATCTTTCATAACAAACTAACTCAAATAGAAACACATAAAGATTGTTTTAATTCACATATTTTTTTTTATAAAAGTTTTTTTCTTAAAATATATAAAAATATGAAACACTATTCTTGATAAACCTTTATAGAAGTATTTAAAAAAGAAAATGCTTATCAAATAAACAATTATTATGTATTAATATAACTACAATATTTATAAATGGTGTTTAACAAAAATCAAGCACATTTAGTTTTTAAAACAAGTAATTGACTAGTATGTTACATGTGGGACCAGTATAATAATCATTAATTGGTAACAAAAATAAAGAACACATAAATTCAGTATACAAAAAGAAAAAAATTCAAGTGAATATAAAAAATTACAAAAAGTTTTTCACTTATCAGTCTTAATAAAAAATGAGTAAGAACTTTTAAAAATGAAAATGAACTATTTGAGCAGGTCCATCATAAATTATAGTACTGAAAATCTATTGATTCTTCCAATAGATTTCCATCATATGAATGAAAATCATTATTCGATAAGTTCATTTGATCACTGATTTGATATTTTGGTGGACTTGAAATCAAAAATGAGTTGGTGTATATATCTGGAATGTATTAAGTTAAATTTACTTAATCATATATATTCTATTACAAATTTTTAAATCTTATATGAAATTATGTAACATTAATATAGTTAATACCATTATCTAATGCATTATCAAAGGTTGCTTGTAACTTTTCACTATCTAAACTGTCTTCTCTTTGCAATTCACTCTCAAGATATTTACAAGCTTGTTCTAATTCAGATGATCCTTGAGGTGAAGTTACTGATACTTCTTCTTCGGGAATTGTAGGATATTCACGCTGACCTAAACTTTCTTCAGTGTTACATAACCTCCAATAGTGACCAGCTCCTTGAGACTTACGTCCTTTTCTGAAGTTTGGATTTATAGATAAATTATGCCGAACTGAGTTTTTCCAACGTTCATCATCTTCTCGAAAATATGGGAAATGACTCCTTAATAGAAAATTAATGTATATAAAAATATTTTATAAAAGTTAAGACAGAAACAAAAGTATATAAAATAACAGATTTTTTTCAAATTTTGTTATATATATGTCAGTATTATATGTATTAAAACCAAAACATAAATAACAATCACCAAAAAATTATTAGGGTTACTTTCAAATTTTGTACCTTAGTCTTCATGTCTTTATATAAACTTGAGTATCTTAAAAATATAGATTTTTTTATTAAATTGAATATTTTCCAAAAATTAAATATTAGAATCTGTTTAACTATTTTATTAAATAAATGCTAATTATATAAGTAATTACACGGTTACTTAACTAGTATTTTTATAACATCGTTAAAAATGTTTTTTTTTAAAAAATCAAAGGGTATAAGCTCTGTATGTTATATGAGTTCCAAACTGAAGATATCTATGACTATTCGTTTTTTATATTGTAAAAGGGTCCAAAAATAATAACGTTTTGAAAATACAATTGGCAGAAGATAATAATTTAAAATGTTTTTTTTAATGTATAGGAAATTACAAGAACTTATTTGTAGTCATTTAAGTGGTATATTTCGTTAATTTTCAAAATTAATGAAATAAAATGAAAAATACGTCATATACATGTGTTTACTATCCAAAAACACCTTTGATAATTAATATTGTGTTAAAATAAATTTAAAGAATGAATACGCTTTTAGTCGATTACTGTCTATTAAAAAATGTGATGTCCTGTTTTACTTCTATGAGTAATTTAAAGCACAATGCGTGTACCCGGATGTAAAAACTTACGAATAATCATATTCACATTATCATTTAGATATTAACAGCGACTCTTTATTTTTAAATAGTTTAATATTTAGTCATTTTAATTACATGATTATCAGATTTTTATAAAACCACTCATTATAGTTATCATGTTAACTTTAAATGATAATAAATTATTTCTATACTATCGTATGCAGTTTTTTTTTCAAATCATAATATAATAACTGATAGTTATGTAAAATAATTTAGTACAAAATAAAACGTGGACCAAACAATATGACAGATAAACAATATTCACAGGGCTCAAAAGCCGGTTCAGAGATAATAATTTTAGGCCCTGAAAATGTAAAGTGTCATGTTATAAGTGAACAACAAAAACAGGTAAACGAGGATGTCGATACGTCAGATAAATTAAAAGAAAAGCAATGGGAAACGGACATGAAAAATTCCATTAAGAATTGTCAACTTATTGCAGTTATTGCTGATTTTAAAACGACTCAGTTTCAAACTGTTTGCGTTAAAAGACAAAAAACACGCAGTTTAGCAATGATTTTCGACAAACAGATAGGTAACACGAACGATAAACAGAGATATATGAGTAAGTCTTGTTTTAACAACGTATTTAATAGATACTTCAAGAAGCGAAAAGTATAACTTAATTGTAATGCATATTTTTTCTTATTTTCTTTGAACACATTAATAAATAATGTTTTAGATAAATATTTTATTTTTGCGCGTCTAATGACATGAAAAATTATATTAAAGTATTTATAATAATTTGAAAAAATGTTTTGGTAATTTCATAAATTCGTTTTATTTGATAAATGTTTTTAAATAAATATTTTTTTAAATTTAGTATTCATGGTTTTTATTTTTTTTTAACAGTAAAATGTTACCTACTCCAAAGTGATTACTTTTATTGTATTTTGGGAAGCTATTAGTTTTAAATGATTTTGCTTAATATTAATTAATATGTATAAACAGTATTTTTCTAATGGTCAAAATAAGTGAGAAAAAACTAGAAAAAATTAAGTAGTTGAAATTCTTATATATGTTTTTTCTTATGTTATAAATTAAATCTTTTTACTTAACCTCCAATAATTCAAGAGTGTTTGAATTAACTTTGATTAAAAATATCGGTTCTATGTTTGCAAATATAACACATAAAACATAAGCTGTAAAGGGAGACACCCTGCTTCGGTAAAGTTAACCTTATTTCTTTCAATCCCTTAAGGAAACCCACAACTTGTGCCTGGTACCAAAGTGTACGAATATAATAAACGTGTGATTGTGAAGGGGAGAAATATTTTCAGGTGAACCAAGGCATATACACGCTACATTCCAACAATATTGTCTTGATATAAATATTAAAAAAAAATTATTAATGCGAACAGATCAAAATTACATAAACTTTACCGTTTCTTTAAAGTTTATCGTCATTGTATTATATATATGAATACATTAACTCAATTTATTATTCTGAATTTTTGCATTTTGCAAAATATTTCAAGGTTGTTACTTTTTAACACTGCTTGTTTAAAACACCAAAAATGTCAACATTTAGATTGGTCTTAGGGACGTTATAAATGGTTTATTTATGTTTTAAATAGATTTTTTTTTAACAACCTTGATATATTTTTGACTTCAAAAAGTCAAAACATATAAATTTCTTTGGTCGCCTAAATGATTTTACTGGAAATAGAATGACTTAGAGTCATGTAGAATATTTAACAACTAGAATAATTGCTAGTTGAGTAAAGAAAAATGTAAATGTATTAATTCTATTTTTGTACAGTCTTTCGAATAGTATTATCAAGCAAACTTTCTACTGAGGGTGTAAAAATTAAAATTTTAAAATTATGTGATAAAATATGCTCTGAATAAGGTTAAAAATAAAAGACTTTTGGTTCGAGTTTTTTTTTTGGTTATTTGGTGCAGAGGGACACAATTTGGAAATCACATTCAGCACATTTACGATAGCGCAGCCCTGATATGAATAAAATGTATTTTTTTACGGATCTATACATTTTTAAAAACTATTTCTTCAAAGTTCTCAACAATTCAGATTTACTTATAATTATAATACTTGAATCATTTAAATATTAGCGAATATAACATCAAATGATTAACTAATGGAAAATAGTATTCATTGAACAATTACTATTAAAATATGCTAATTATCATTTGTTTATAGTATACAAACACTGAAGGGTGGGAATAGGTGAAAAGTTTCACGGACGGTTGATTTCGTAAACTAATAGCTATCATTATTAACCCCCATAGACTCTTTTCGATGGAAACCGTTTTACACAGGAAATACAAACACGTGACCAAAAAAATATTAGGTAAAGACAGGTGAAATAAAAATGAATTTATATTTTCTATCAGTATATTTTCTATACATTTAAAATGTGTGTCTCATAGAGTTATTTTATAATATTAAGAAATATAGTATAATAATTAATTTTAAAAATATCACCCAAAAAAATGTTTTATTATTTTATAATCCAAATTGCTTGAAAATCGGCCAATAATTACCAATAATATAAAAGCTTAATTGAATTGAATTTAATTATTGACATTTTGTATAAAAATATATTTTGATTTTTAGACATCTTACATTTTGTCAATTTTACAAGGTTCTCTAATTCGGCTAAATTATTAATGCAAAACGATTTTTCTTTTAACTGAAATGTTCATTAAAAAAGGGATCAAGTCCAAAAAGCTTTAAAAAAATTTAATGGATTTTTCACATTATTATATATATAAAAATAATTAAATAATTTAATGAACAAATGGATGAAATATCACAAAGCAATGCCGATTATTAGGGAGGTGATGGGTAAATCCGTCTCCCTCCTTGGTTCGTGTTTTTTTTTAAACATTATAGTAACAGAATTTTTAGCACACTAAAGATATTGTTATGATCATAAGAATTCACATAATATTTATAAAAAACAAATGTATTCTACTTAAAATACGTATATTTATTTATGATTACAACTAAGTTCTAGACCCAAGCCTTAGATTTTAGAAAAAATAATTGCAAAGTTATAATTTTGTAATTTTTGTTTTTGATATACGAAAAAATAAAGGTGTTTTTATGTAATTTTGGCTTTACCAAGTATGCGTTCATAGATTATTAATGGGACTTTAACTTCATTATCCTATGATTTTTCAATTTATATTTTCACCATCCTCCTTAAAAGTTATTTATACCCGCTCCTACTACATTGTTTGGGCTTTTTACAGCTGTAAAATATTTTATTATCAACTAAAAAATAAATAATAATTAAAAAAATGATATTCCACAACGTAGAAAAAATATTGGTTCATGAACTAGATTTATTCTTATGAAAAGTTTTAAAACAAAAATTAGTTTTTCTTCGATTTTTGGATAGGTTTTTCTAATTTATGAGGGTAAGAAGATTTATTTTCTTAATTTTTTTCTAGTTACATTTATATAAGTAAGCGTAGATATTTTATGATTTTAATTATCTTCTTGTAATACATACATTAATTATTCAACTCGTCTGATTATTTTGGATTGAATCATGATTCAGGTCTACTTATATGTCGCACAAGAATTATTTTTAATACACGTACACTTGTCTAGTTTTTTTCCTAACGGGACAACACGCAATCCATAAATAGCGACTTCTCAGTTACTGAACCATAAAATTGGTGTTATCACGCTCGATGGTAGAATAAGGGAGTTTCGTTAACTGTGGTTGCCAAATGATGACTATGATATGGGCAATACAAACAATATGGTGTCATGAAAAGGGTCTATGATGTTGAACATAAATTATGTAGTGTAAACAGCAGTTTAGTAGTGTTTATGGCTTATGGTTTATGGTTTACCTATGCATACAGATTAAAGCATAGCCATGCAATTTTAATTTTGACAATTCACTTTATAAGAAATTATTTTTTAACTTCTAGTAAATAATTGCATTAAAGACCAAAATTTACCACTAATTTCAAGAGGTCCTAAAATCTTGACTTCATATTCTAATTTATAATAAATTTCCCCGTTTGTACATTTAAATTTTATAAATTATAATAGATTTCGTGGTAGGAACTGTAGTTCTAGTCACAATAAAATGTGTTAAAAGAAACAAATTTGATTAAATCTTAACATTGAGTCGTGATTGTATTAACTGATTTATCAATTTAACTTACGATATCCATTGATATATTTCTGCTACTGGAAGTTCTTTTTTCTCCAATAAAGCTTGATGAATCATTTCTGTATATGTGTAGCCCGGCTTATTGGCTTTGTCTAATCTCGACGGAGGTAGCCGGTAGGGCTTTCGATTTGTTTTCGACACGTCTGAAAAAAAATGTGTTTTATCATGATTTTTATGTATTTGCTTTCACTATTTTAGATTAAATGTTTTAGAAAAAGGTAAATTAAACAACCGGATCAAACTGCTCAGAATTTTAGGAAGTATAAATTTTCTATTGTAAAAATGAATTGTTATTTATATATTATTCTGAATCTATACAAATATAATACATAAATATTTTCTCTTAAGACTATAAGTTTATTTGAAATAAATAATGTTGAGAATTTAAGGTAAAAATTAATTTTGTTGAGTTGAAAGGTGTAAATTGAACTATAGTCTTACGAACTATAATGTAGTCAATATCACATGTGTTCTTCTTCTTTTTCCTCACCATAATCTCAACTACTTGGGTCGGCCACCCTTATCCTAAACTTCCACTTGACACGATCACCCACATCATCTACGCTCACATCAGCTATAATCGCATTCAATAATATCCCTCCGTCTGGTCCGTGTTATTGAAGAGAGTAAATAAGCATATTTTATTGTTAAGTAATATAGAAATAGTTTTCATTTGTCGTAATGTCGATATCATTGAAATTTGTGCGATTCAAATTCAAAAGAATTATTATTAGCCACGTTCGTATAAATTATGTTAATTGTGGGTATTCCACACGTCGGGTCCTCGTACAGTATGTACAGTTCACAATTGTGTGTGTGTGGTAATATTGCCGTTGGTGCATATATTTATATGTATTTTTGTGTTTTATTTTTAATTTTTATTATCTAAATTACGACGACAAATGGACGATTGACGAAATGACAACTATCAGCTGAGTATTAAACTGATATTAAAAGATTATTTTTATTTATTTTCATTTTTTTATAAACTACGTCATTCGAATTTCGATTGTAGTTCGTAATGGGTACTGTAGGTATTCTTGCTGTTTTATCTAGTGCGTATACTGTTTATGTGTTCGATCTATCGTTCAATAAAATTGTTTCCTTAATAGATTTTAATAATAAATTCACTATAAAATCGAATATACATTATTCCAACATGAGTACTCGAAAAATTGATTCTTACTTTGGTCCTCAAACAAGTGTTTCAAACGAGTCAACTAATGATAATGGAAAAAAAAAAAAAAAAAAAAAACCATAAATAAAGTGGCTGATATTACAAATTTGGCGCAATCGTGGGATGTTTAAAGTGATTTAGATGTCACACAAGTAAGTATTTAACAGCACATACTTCTTATTATAAACGTACTACATACTATAAGAGTAGATACGTCATTTTTCTTTTATCTCACATTCATTTAATACATTTTTCATTGATTGTATTTTCATTTTAAACATTACTAGTGTGTTAACATTTTATATTACATGCAGTATGTTATGTAAAGTTAATTGGTGTATTATATATAAATCATTTAATTTTTTTTACCGATAGATGTAGTGTTGTGTTCGCCCATTCAAAAAAATTGTTTTGCCCTTTACCGCCCCCCAAGGAAAAAATTTCTGGCGCTGTCCCTAATACTAATACGTTGACACAGTAATAATAAGTTGTTTAACACAAATAACAGAATAATCGAGAATTCCAACTTACATTTTGACTCGGACTTTGCGACCCTCCTTTTAAATTTTTGGGTGTCTTGATCGTGCCAGTTATGAATGTTGCTTCTACCGGCAGTCGTTTGTGAATTGTTTGGTTCAAAAATGGACGATACCTGAAAATTGACTAACCAACTTAAATCGCCTGGGTTGTTATTCTGGTATTGTTCATAACTATCAGGTGATGACTGTGTTGAAGACCGTCGGCTCGTTTGCGGTCTTGTCTGTAATCTGTTCTGTGCCGGACATTCGCGAGTCGTTCGATATTCTGTTGGCCGTATCCACAACGGTGGCGGCTGTTGTGGTTGTTGTGCCTCGAATACCAATGGCGTGAACACGTCGGAAGGCTCAAATCTAGCGCGTACAGTCTGAGGAGGTGTACAAGTCATCTCTGTATTTGACTGTTGTCGCGGTAAAGACGGTTTCCAAGTGCCTGGCTGCCAGTCAACAAAGGTGTTTGGTTGATCCTGTTGCTGTTCATGCTCCAACTTATACAGTTGTGGCGGGTTTGCGTACGCCAAATATCGCTTAGACAATACTAACGATGGCAACCCGTCTGAAAGCGTATTGGGCGGAGTGTTTGAAGACATCGCGTATGGTGCGCGGAGCTTACGTTGGGGGACGCGGCAGCTATTGCGAAAATACGATAGACGCGCACGGCGGCGGCCACATCCCCGAAGTTTCATATACCAGTGAGGACGTTCAACGATGGATTAACAGGGAACAACACTATTTAGAAAACGATGAACTGTCCCAAGGGCGGAGCATACACTTTTGAATTCAAATGGTGACGCCCAAGCAGAGAATGTGTAAGATTATGAATGAGTCCTGAATTGTTTGACACGAAAATCATTTTCACATGTGTTTAACAATATTGAAAATGAAAACATTTTAGTGCATTCAAATAACAAAATTTTGGTATTGACAATTTCAATATATTTTTATCATTAAAATCAGACTATAACTTTAAGTACTATGGATTGATTCTAGATGGACATTCATTTCATTAAGTCATGCTATCTTTAATACACAACTGTATTTAATAATTACAGTCTGTATATTTTCTATATTAAATTGAATTTGTTGTTATTTATATTAGTTGTATTTTTTTGTTTTAATTATCAAGCTAATTAAACAAAATATTTCTTTGGTGCTTACTAATGAATTGAAACAATACTATAATCACTGATGGATTTTACAAGGTTAAGAATATTATCCTTAAATTTCATTTCATAAATAGAAAATTTAAATTTATTTAATGTACATGGAAAATTAAATAAATAAGATCACAGAATAATAGTATAGTATATAATAATAACAATAAAATTAACTGTTATGATCAAAAATAAAAAATTATAATTGGTTTAATTACTAGAATTTAGCATGCATTTTAAAATTATACTACCAAATATTGATTATCACAAAAATGAAACAACGATAAAGCTTCAATTCAAACCTTTAAATTACCTTATTAATACAGGATGATTTTTTAATATTAACCGCTTGATTTTTCTTATAATAATAATTATGTAAAGATAATAATTTTTGGTATTTTTTATTATCATATATTTCTCGATTCATCAACTATTAAGTTTTTTTTTAATTTATTCCTTTTACTTTATAAGAGTGCCAATTTTATTTTTTTTAATGACAAAAATACATATTTAACTAAAAATAAAAATGATTATTTTTATTTTAAAAGCTAGTTAAATTTTTGATTATTTTTAGTTACATATATTTCTTGATTTATCAGCTTTTTTAAATGACAACATTTATATTTAACTAGTTAAAAAATAAAACATTATCTAATTAAGAAAACATTGAGAAAAATAAAAATCAATAAGAACCTTTGGACAAGTAATTCAGAAGTAATTAGCATTTTAATATGAAAGTAAATGTGGTCGCTGCTATTTTTGTCATTAGACATTTCTCGTCCATATTCCTCCTCCTGATTAGACATAAAAATTAGAATAAGTTCCAAAATACTAGTTTTAGTTCCTAAAAGTGCTTATTGACCAGACATTTTTTTAATGAGATTATTTTATATTTTATAAATTAGATATGTATGTTGCCATTTAAAAAAATAAAGTTGACACCACTATAAATTATAAGGGATAATTCTAAAATTTAATTAGGAACTGATAAACAAAAATATATATGCATCTAAAAAAAATTTAAATTTTTTTTTCAATGTTAAATTTATTTTCCGAGTAATCAAAGTTTTCATGATAAACCAATCATCCTGTATATATATAAATTTCTTATAGTGAAGTAACATTTAATCAAATGTATTTATTTTTAAATAATAGTTATATAAAATAAAATACTTTAAATGTATTATTCTTAAGAAATATATTGTGCTTAAATAGTAAAAGTTGTACTGTCGATTTTTTAAATTAAAAAAAATTATAAAGAAATTATTAACGCTATTATAATAATTTATAGTTAAAAATTTGGTTTTGTATAAAGGAAGTTATTGAAGAGCAAGATTATAAATTATTAAAACTTATTTCATGACTTTGTATATACATTTCTACTTATAAAATTATTTTATATAAATGATAAACTAAAAAAGTATAAATCAGGATGATTCTGTTGATGATCTTGAAATAATTTTATAACAGCCTTGACAAACAGGAACTGGCTCTTGACTAAGATGTCCAGGTAAAGATACATTCATATCAATACATCGATGACAAAAAACATTTCCACATTTCCAACAGTGATACTAAAATATAAAAAATATTTTTATCAATATTGATTATAAAAACGAAAATAACAAATAATAATACTTTTTTGGTAGAAGAATCAAAACGAGTAGAACATTCACATGCCACTGTTTCTCTCAAGCTTTTCCATTCAATAGCAACTTTATGGGATTCATCTAGTTTTGGTTCCAGCACTGTTAGACTACTAAATGTGTCATTCATTGAATTTAAAACATTGCTTTCTTTATTATAGCTCATTGGCTCTATGCATGTTTCTTTTGAAAACAAGCTATTACGAACCATGTCTGCACCATCAGAGAGTTTACGTTTAAAGTATGACAATCTTTTCTGCAAAAACTTAACATGATCATCCAGTGATTTAGTTTGTTCACTAGTTGCTAATAAAATATCATAGACATGTTCACGGGGATGAACACCATTTTCAAATCTACAATACATGCCTCTCCAAAACCTTATATTTTGAGGGGATAAATCTGGATGCATAGTTTTGGGATTTTCAATATGTAAAGGGTTTATAAATTCTTTTTTATGTTCTTCCACGTAACCCCAAAATGAAAATGTACGTTCCTTCAATCTAAAAAAAAATCTTTATTATTGATAAAATTTATTTTACTAAAATATAATAACATAAATATTAAAAATTGATCGTCATTAAACCTGAAGAGCACATTTTTTGTCTAGAATATAAATTGAGGACAATATTATAAGTTCTAATCCATTTTTTTTTATTGTATTAAATAATGAAATATAATATATTTATTATATGGAATATTTTTTCAACTAGAAATACAATAAATATTTTAATAATAAAAATAATCTTTATAAAGATTTATTACATTAAAAAGATTTCTCAAAATTAAATATTCTATACAATTGCATTAAATTTTAAAATAATCAAAAAAATTACTTTAAATCAGCACGCTCTTTTTCACAGTTTCCAATAAAAGTTCCATACTGACAAGATGATACATGATCATGAAGGACTAATAAAAACCGCTCATTAAATTCAAAAGATGTTGGCTGAATCATAGTGAGTTGCCATGTTGATTCTACAAATTGAGTAAAAACAGGCGAAACTTCTTTAGGATCACCAGCAATATGGCCACATCGATCAGTAAATTTATGACCAAAAGATAGCCAATCTTTTTCAATAAGTGCCTAAAACAATACATTTATTGTAATATTCATATTTTCTTTCATTTGTTATCTTAATTAAACTAAGTATATACTAGTATTTATGTTTCTAAAAATATAGTTTATTATCTAATAATAAGTTTTTCCTAACACCAAAACACATACCTACTTTGGTATGTAAATAATTTAGCATTTTTTAAACAAATATTTAATAGGAAAAAATGCTTATAAAATCTCTAAATTTTAACTATATTATATATTTTTTAACATTATATGGAAAATTGTTTTAAAATACTGAATTAACAATAGTTAAAACAAAATATTATGTTGTAATACAAACATTAACATTTGTAAACAGTAAAAGCACTACAGTATTTATTAATTTAATTAAAAACAATTTGATTTATGGCATAATAATCCTAGCTATTGAAGAGATATCAATAAAATAAAAAAATAGTTCAATGTTTTTTTAGTTAAATTATTATATCTATTTTTATATACTTGAAATCCTTTGAGAGTTCTGTAATATGGATCCAACATAAGTGATGCAAGTGAACAGACTTGAGCAGTTCTATCCCAACCATCTGAACAATGAACAACAACTGACTTTCCACCATCAATAGCTTGACATATAAATGCTGATGTATCAAGAATTGTTTTTATATGACGCAACCACCCACTATTTTCTAACCCACCAATAAACTGAGACATAGATAAATTTCTTTGCTCACACACTAAAATTAAATTTTGACATCAATTAATTTTTTTTATTAAACCCAACCAAACCAAACTAATAATAGTAAGTAAAATACTTACAATCTACAACTTTTGATAGACTACTTCTCATTACATGAATATTTTCTATCCCAAGAAAATTAAATTTAATATTTTCATAAAAATTTTCATTTTCATAACCTTTTCCTGTTGCTCGATTTGCCATTGCATTTATCTATTAGATATAAGTACTTTATACATTTATAATTAGGTATTTAAAACAATAACTTATTATTATATTGAATCTTTAAGTAAAAACTTTTGGAAAAAAAAAATGAAAATTTCTATCATGTAACATTAGTAATATAACTAAAAAGTTAGCTAATATAATTATGTATTATGTACAAAAGAGGTAAATGAACTATTAATCATTTTACAGAGATTCATTATAATTTTTTTATTGTTAAAGTTAATTCAAAACTTTGAAATAAAATATAAAATTGTGTCATTTTTCAAATATATAGTTATCATTGGTGTACAACAGTTCTTTATTTATATTACATAACTTAACTCATCATCATTTTCCTCTTCTATGCTTTATACCATTGATACATAAATGATTTAAAAATTTAATATAATATAAAATAGTAAGAAATATAGTACCTTGGGTCTTGTATCAACAACATACATATACTTGCTGCCTGGATTTGTATGAAGTATGCAGTTTAAAAGTTGTTCATCTTCCAAACATCTAGCATTAAATCCAGAAAGTGGTTGTGCACAACGACAAATGGCAGCCTAAAAAAATAATTTGTTTTTGTAAAAACAATGACTAAAAAATGTAGAAGTTTTAAATACAAATTACCTTATTTCTATGCAAATATGTAAGGACTGGCAAACGTTCTTTACTCCTAAATTTAGAGCTTCCTAATAAAATTGATGTACTCACTGATGATGGTACAAAGAGGAACTTAGGGTAAGTATCACATAGCTACAAATCAGTCATTAAATTATCAGATAATTTTATCTATTTATTTAATATTGATTAGAAATAGTCAGTTTTTCATATTTGAAATAAGAAACACTGGCCAATTATATGTTAAGGCAAGTATATAATACCACAGATATAAATAAACTAAATAAATATTTATACAGGTATACTGGTGTTAAAAGAAATTTAAAGCATAATGAGCCACAAATACAACATGTATGTGAGGGTGTATTTATAAAATAAAAATAAAGTAACTAAAATGTTTATGTAATATAAATGTATTTTATGTCAAAAAATTACAAAAATAAAAAATTACATTAAAAAAATATATCTATAAATAATGAAATTTTAATAATTAAGTAATAAAATTGAAATACTGACATTTTCAATAAAATAGTTCTTACATTTTGGTACAATATGGGTCATCAATGATTTTGATATATTATCGATATTATAGAAATTACACAGTAATAATTTTGGTAGTTCATTATTAAAGTATTCATAAAATATTTAACATCAAAAATATAACTTAAGAATTATGAACGAGAATATTTATGGGGGAAATCTACTTTGTTTTATGACTAATGAAATAATAGATACTAAGACAAAATATAATTTGCAAAAATTGATTGTTTATATACATTGTACATATGAAAAGTGTATCATAGGTATCGGCGCAGTTTCATGGGAACGGTAGGAGTAGCCCCCTGAGCCCAAAATGGATCTGTGCTTGATAAGTATGATTCAATTCTATTATTAAAATTATTTACCTCATGTTATTACCCAAGGTCATAAACAATATTAAATGTTAATAAGTAAAGGGTTAACTATCTTTATTAATTCCGACTACTATACTTATGTATTGCAGACTTTATATTTTTTTATAGATGACATCGGTACCAGTGATAATCTAAGCTTAATAATCAATAAATTTAAGAATTTTTGTAATATTAATTGTCCTAATAATATTTTCAGAATTAATGTAACTCTGTAACAGAAATAATTAGTCTGTAAAATTTAAATTAAACTTAAAATCCTATTTGGACATGCTCATTCAAATTTATATTAATAATATCACAATATTTCAATACAATATCAAAATTTTATTAAAAAAGTTGCTGATATTAAAATTATATCAATAATTGTTGGCGATCTTTATAAGGCAATATTATCTACACAAGCAGATATAAAATCTTTAACAATTTTTTTTTTACTTGATTGACCCATAATCAATCAGAATATTTTTATATGAATACTTTTATTTAAAAAAAACCCAGCACAGGGGGGTCGCGGCACATTGATGACATGCCATAGTTGGATCAAGTATAATGATATCTGACAGTGATTAAAATCACTATCAATAAAAACGCTTCGATGCAAATATTTAGATAGTGTATAATATTAAAAAATTGGTGGATTATTCCAAAAGCTACATGATTTGCTATTTCCTTATTAATATCCTGATTAAGATAAAGTATGTCGAATGAAAAAGGGATATAAATATTATTTCTCATAAAAAAATTGTGTTGATCCATACACTTTTAAATAAATTATAGCATTATAAAGTTAAAAATGTAAAAAATAAAATCGAGAATTTTCACACAAAAAATAGCATTTGGTACCCATTTTCACCGTGAAGATGAAATAAAATCCGAAATTTTCTTTTTCCATAATAAAGTACATTACATTAGCTTTAATTTAAGATATATATAAAAGTGTCAGACACTTTTAAAAGTTAAGTTGAAAAAGTTAATTTTTTGTGAAAAAGTTGTCATTTTAAATACCCTCCTGTGGGCAGGTAAAAAAAAATATACCAAATGGTAGGTAATGACATCATGCATCTATATAAAAAAGAATTATATTGATATGTTTATTTTTAAAAAAGTTACGGCAGTTTTTAGTAAAAAAAATATACCAAATGATAGGTAAAGACATCAAGCATCTATAAAACAAAAATTTTATTGATATGGTCATTTTTGAAAAAGTTATGACAGTCTTAAGGAAAAAAAATTTCGAAAATTAGCGATTTTTAAATTTATAATTTTTTTGGAGATTTCCTCCCTTTACGGGGAACGAGGGATATTTTTCAATTTTTGAGGGCAATGTCTTTGACTAGATACGATTTGTGATCTTGTGACGTATCATTGAAAGAAATCGGTTCAGTAAGAGCTAAAAAGTGGTAACAGACACCAAAAAAAAAACACATCATAGTAAAACCAATACCTTCTCAGCTTCGCATCGAAGCTAAAAATATATAAGTTAATTTTTTTTTATCACTCTCAATTCAATTTTTCTGTTTGTAATGATTTTTATTAAGAACATTCATTCTAAAATTAATACAGATTTTTATTATTTATAATTTATAATCATTTAGAACTCAATCGAAAATTAATGCTTGTAAGTTAAAAAGCAAATATTTTATGACTGAAAGTTTAGAATTTTATCACCATTAACTTTCATGACCAATGAAAAGTACATTATAAATCATTTTTAAGTAACAACTCTTTTGAGAAAAACAAAAGTATTATGATTTTCAATATTCACGTAAACACAAAATGTGCATTAATAAACAAAAGAAATTGCTGTAATAAACTGATAGAAATACAAAAAACTCTGAAGACTTAATTAAGAGATTAAAAAATAATAACATACTAACTTCATAATCTTGATTTAAAGTTGTTAAACTCCAAGTTTCATTTGGCACATTCATACGTTTATACTCATTTTCCAAATTAAAGCTTTCCCATCCAGCACTTTTTGAAATTTTATCAGAATTAGATTTATATAAAAAACAGTAAAGATCTTCAATTTTTACTAAAATTTTATATTTATAACAATTAAAATATTTTATATAATAATATAATGAAAATACTAACCAGGTTGACATAAAACTAGTAATGAAGTAAAAATATTGTGTGAATCTCTTTCTTTCGGAATGACAAATGTTACTGACAAAAATGTCTTACAACGAATAAGAATTGGACTTCCAGTCGTAGTTAAAGGAAGTTTTTCTACATTTCCAATATGCATTAATAACACCCATGATTCTTTTTTGTTTTCTGGATCAAAAAATATTAAATGAGTAGCAGTTAAATATAATGTGCCTACCAATGTTTTTTTTGAATTGTAACGATCTAGCATTCGAACATTTTCAATCTGAAATCCAATTATAAGATAAGTTAAAACACAGTTATTTGTACAATGTTAAAAATATTAAGCCTTTTAATGCTAGTTACAAAATTAGAATTAGGTTATAAGCTATTTAAGCTTACTCATTCAAGACCTTTGAAAGAAATCTATGAAGATATTTAAAAAGAATAAATAAATATATATAAATAGGCTATTTAGTAAATAAGGAAAAATATTTTTATTGTTCTCATTGTTTATAACAATTGACCTTTCTTTACTTTGGAACACAATATATAGTGTTCTATACATTAAACTATATTTTAAAGAGATGTTGAAGAATTTTTTAGTCCGTTAAATAAAGTGAAAAGGTTAAATGATAATGTTAGAAATATGTATACAATTTTAAGAATCATCAAATACTGTTTTCATTAACATCATGTAGTATGATTTTAAAACAACTGTGACTTATACTTCAAAGCGCTAGTTTTATTAGTGTAAAGTAATTAATATCTAGCACAAGTTGTAGGAGTACATTCTGGAAGTAAAACATTGAATAAAATTGATTAATAGCAATAACTCAGAGGTATTAAGTTAATTTTAATAAGCATCTTAATTATAAGGTATAAATACTTAAAAAAGTTTCTATCAAATCTAAATACAAGTAAATTATATTTGGAACAGATTTTTTAATTATTTAGATAGCTCTCATAAATTTCCAACATAAACATCACTATTTCAGAGTGATAGTTACAGTATTTGACATTAAGATAGTTTATTAGATAATTAGTAAATAATGGTTACTAAAAAACTTTGAATGCAAGCAGGATGATATAAATTAATATATACAATTGAATTGTGACACTATATATCAAACACACTTAATAGTCACCTTTTACTAATAGGGTTCTAAAGTTAATTCATTATTTAACACTAAAACACATTTAAGATAACAAACATTTTTATTTTTATTCATGATAATGATAAAATTATTTTTGTATATTTTAAATTTGTTTAGATTGAATTTACATTTAATTAATAAAAATAAATAAATCTGTGAATTAATTAAAAAGTAGTAGTATTCAAATTAAAAATTTATTTAAAAAATATTTTATGAATTATATAAACATGACACATAAAACCCTCAATGTACCTTTTTAATGACCGAACCGTCTTGTTGCTGTTGCCTGGCTACTCTGGCCATCGCAGCCTCACGCTGAAGCCACGACCTGAATCGGCAAAACAGCGAATACGATCCAGGTGCTGATGACAAACGATACAGACGGAAGCCGATTGGCGATACGAACCTGTCGTTCTGAGCCATACAACTGTGTATGATATGGTTTTAAATACACAAGTCACTGCATGTCCTACAAAAGCATGCACAACAACCATGGGTTAAGTCTACTGTGGAAACTACAAGAAAACAAACAATTTGCAGAACCTATTTTAGGATAAAAAAAGATATACTACAGAGACAGGATAGAGAAATAATTTAAGATTATATAGTACACATGCAATGAATGTGTTAACCTCGACCACAAGCACCCCACATAAGATCCACCACATACAGAGTTATAATTCCAGTAATTAAATTGAGCACATAGATTTTTATAGATTGGAGTATTTTTCAAAATATAATAAATTACTTTTGGAGTTTTAATATGTTCCATTTTGAAAATCAAAAGCACACAGAGAAAAAAATAATATAATTGGACAAAATTTTAACACATTAGACAAATAAAACTAAATTCATATTAATAAAATATACTTTAAATTGTTGCAGTTACAATTGTTACAATATATATTGTATTAAAAGAGGTAACTTAAGTAATTTTGAGATACATCATCATCATCAACAGCATAGTTACATATTCCATATTATTATCAAATATTTTTTTATCATTTTCGTGTACTAGTTTTCATCTGATATGTTCTACTTTGATAATATTATCAACAGCTGTTTTTTAGTTAGAGGAGTTCTTTAGATATTTGCATAGAAAATATAGACAAAATAAATATGGTCTTATATTATTATTACATATCGTCACGTACGAAGAGAATATTCTCTAAATCGCGGTACAAACAGTGCTCGAATTGGGCGGGTGCGCAGGGGGACGTAGCTCCTCTACTTTATTTTAAATTTTTTTGCGCACCCCAACTACTTTTTTTTATTGGACGGGAGGACGGTGGACAATACCACCTCTTTTTTTTTTTTTTTTATATTAGTATGATAATGAAATATGATTTATTAATAAATACTAAATAAAGTAATGAGAAAAAAAAAAAAAAAAGTCTTCAAAATGCTAGGGACGCAGTTTTCTAATTGTTAAGCTGAGCTCCCCTACTTATTTTTGGCCAATTCGAGCACTGGGTACAAACCTTTGGTTTTGTTCTAGTAATAATCTATTTTTCGTTAGAAACTTATCTCAGGCGACGACATATTGTACCTAGGAGGGATAAAAAAATTTTTATTTATTTATAATTTTAAACATTTTTATAATAATTAAAATTCGCATTTTTAATTACAATTATAAATTACTTTCTAAAATTCTCCATGCCTATTTTTTAAATAATTTTATTATCGATTAGTTTTTAGAGAATTGATTATCATTCTTGTGATCGAATTGTATACTTAAAATGTTTAAATCTTTTTCTAAGGAGCATATAATTTTATAATGAAGATATTAGATAATACTTAAATTGGTATCTAATTTATTTTATACTGGTAATATTTATTTACATAAAACTTACCAATATTCTAAAAATAATAAAATTATTCTCTATGGTAACTAAACTATTTAAAACAGTTTGTGTGTTTACATATTTTAGTTTTATATATCTATAAACATGGACTTTATTGTATTATTAAACTTTCTAAATTACATTCAATAGAAAATAATTTTTATAAATAGTTAAATTATAATACAGTAGGAAAACTAAATATATAAATTCTAAAATATAAAATAACCATTTATAGAATAAAAATATTTAATCTTAATAAATGATAACAGATTTTTATATTTTACATAAAGATCCAGTAAGTATTTATAAATATATTTCAGTAAGTGTACAATTAAAAAAATATAATTAATTTTTAACCATAATTTTAAATTTCAAATTTTCTCAAATAACATTTATTCTAATTTAAGGAAAAAATTATCATAAATTATACAATAATAGCAGGTGTAAATAAGGAATATTCAAATGGTCATTAATCATAACAAGTCAATAAGTTTTAAAATAGAAACTTAAAAATTTTATATATTTTTTAAACAGTTTAAAAAATACTCTATGGATTAAAACCAGCAACAAAAAAAATTAAAGTACAGTAATTTTTATGTTTTTTTTATTTTTCAAAGGTATTTCAACATAAAATAGAAACAAATCAACTGAGGATGTTTTAAAATTGTTACTGAAAAATAGCCATCAGTACTTAACATAAATGTTGGAAAAAAAAAAAAAAAAAAAAACACAAAAATTTTTTTAACACTTAACACTTTTTCTATGGCTACGAGTAGTAACACCAGCTGACCATGATCTTGATAATGTGTTATTACTTCTCTTATAAATTTTCTTTTTCTGCGACCTTAATGTTCTAGTCATTGGTTCAGTTAAAGGAGTTTTTATTTTTGAAATAGAAGATATTTTAGGAGTAGTTGGTGGTCCCTCTTTTGAGTTAGAACATTTCCAAACTTTTGAAACTCTTCCAGAGCTTCTTAAAACTACACCTAATTTTGTTTCTTCAGGCTTTATAGATTTTGTTGGCGATACAAGCCAAGCCTCAGGGGGTAGTTGATGATTTTCAGAATCACTATTCTGATATTTGGAGACTTCTTCACCTGTGGCATTATTATTTAACTTTTGTTTTTTAACTACTTTTCCGCTACTTGCACGGGTTGTTCTTTTTTGAGAAGGTGTACTATTTTTTTTACTAGAACTGTTGTTATTGTCATTACTACTATTATTGTTATTATTATTATTTAATTTAGCTGAAGTTCTAAGTACTTTGCTAGACTTTACAATTGGTGTTTCAGTAGATGGAGGATTTGAACACCTAAAATAATAAAAAAAATGTCCATTTATTAATTATGATTGCATATTGGTACAACAAATTTTTAATAGTGAGACTATTTATAGAAATATTTAAAATGATACTTACATTTTTGATGAGCTAGCAGGGTAATGAGGCGACTTGAGTGATTGGTCAGTAGGATACCTCGTGAAAATAGCATAACCACCACTTGAACCTTTACCAAATCTTTGAACTTGAGGGTCTCCATCAACACATTTACAATTATTTTTATCTTCACACTTCATATTACCAGTTTGCATTTTATGTTTTAACAAAACTTGAGGAGCCGGTGGGCCAGGTGGATCAAGCATTAATGTTATGACAGTAGTGTTATCAGCTCTTAATCTGACTTTATTCCATTGTAATATTGCTTTGTCTACAAGATTTTTGGATGGATTTAACCATTCTTGTTTCTGAAATAAAACTTTTATGGTTACATTTTTTTATTCAAGGTAATTTAATTCTATTAAAATACTTACATCTAATGATTTCATTTCAATATTATGTTTTTCAGTAGCATGAACATTAGAAACAGCTACATCAGGTGAAAGAACATTCCATAAGCCATCTGTACCAAACACTAAGCATCTGTGTTTTAATGGATCAACATTAAAAACATCAACATCAGGTTCAGGTGAGACTACAAATGTATCATGTTCAGAATTGTAACTCCAAAAGTCTCCAAGAGCACGCGCAACTGCTAGGAATGGAATTTCATCTATAGTAGTTGAACGTCTTACTGGACCTTTATGACCGATACGAGGTCTATTCCATACGACACGAGGTACTCCAGATTTATTGATTACTTTACCTCCACTTTTTTCTATTCTTATTTTCTCTTCAAATGATTCAGGTTTATGATCACGTGTCAGTGGTTTAGCTTTCCAATCTCCATTTTCTAAGAAGAATGTATTTATCATTGAATTATAAACAAATGAGAAAAAATATAACATTTTTATTATACTAAATAAATTGTTAAGTAATTGAAATTTTTTAAAATTAAAATTAACATGGAAGTTTTGTCTGAATTGTTAATATGACTAAATTAATTTTTTTAGAAGTACTAATATAATTAAAAGAAATTATTTAGATATCTTTAAAATAAACAATTGAATTATAGTAAATACTGATAGAATAATCTTTAGTATAAATTTTGATGATACATAATTTTTAATTTTTGAATATATATAAAAAAAAAATAACTGTTTAACACAAAGTTTATAAAATAAATCAGAAAGTTTTTACTAAATAGTTAAACAATAAAAAATAAATAACACTTTTCTGAATATAAAAATATTATATAATAAGTTATAAAAATACCTTCGTCTTGATAACCAAGTACAATACAACTATCACCAACATGTCCTGTATAAATTTTTCCTCTCATTATAAAGGCTATACTTGCAGTAGTACCAGAAGTATTGGGTAAACCCGATTGAGTTCTCGGCCAATTTTCTGAAAGCAAATTTTTTTTTTTCAATTTATGAGTTGCATATGATATTTATTTATTGAATTAAAACAAAAAACATACCTAACTAATCAGGAGAAACATTAAGAACAAATATAAGCAAATAATAAGTTTAGTTTTAGAGTATAGATTTACTGCTGTATAATATATAATATTTCTCTGGTTCTAGGAGTGAGTTAAAGTATTTCTAAACAAGTTTGAATTTATAAACTCATCTCATAAATAATAAACCATATAATCAGANAATTTATAAACTCATCTCATAAATAATAAACCATATAATCAGATTATAAACACCAATATTTTATGAAAAATGTCGTTTTAATATCATAAAGTTTTGTAAATAATAATTTATATATTTATATAAATAAGGAAGCTAGATTCTTCTAAACTTAAAATGAGAGTTTTTTAATGTTACATTATTTTTGGCATGGTTAAATTTTAAAACACAAATAGTTAATTATAGTAAGTGCAATAAGTGATAATATGGAAGATTCACAAATAAACAAGTCTTAATTTGTTATTAATAAACTATTTTCCATTAAGTATTTTGTACAATTTATTAAAATTTTTATCACTTGTACATTAGTTTTAACCAATGCTTTTTGTATACACAGATGGTTAAGATATACAGTGTATTGCAGTTACAAGATTTCTATGAAAGATTTTTTAAGTTATTATGTGAATTATAGTATGTGATAGTTTTAAATATCTGATTAGAGAAATCAATTTAATATTATTTTTATTACAAAACATTTTCTATATAAACAAGAATAATAATACCTAAGTTTTTCCACATATCAATGTGAGTTGCAATGTAACCATTACGAATAGCTCTAAGAACATCTTCATCGTTGTCTGACCAAAACGCATCATCTTTGATAATGGTATCTAATAAATGATCTTTGGCATATGCTGCTGCTTCTGAACCACCGTGACCATCAAATATGCCAAAGAATGCATATTCCAAATCTTTCATATCTGGTGTTTGCTGATATGCAACTGAAAACATGTCTTCCATATACTTTCTACCACCTTGGTTACAATAACCAGTTACACGCAAGTTGACACCAATACCAGGCATTCTGTAGGGCGTTCAAATGACACCACTTTGATTATTAGTGATAAAAACACTGTTAACGTGACATATTAGCGTATCAAGACAAAGTCGTCAGTTTGACGAAATGTATACAAATTTTCTTGTTACTTTATTACTCGTAAAGTTTCGAAGAGACCCTCTTTCTGCGTTGTTAACAGTAAAATGACAGTGCACAGTGACGCCAATAACGGAGTACACGAAAAACCAGAAAAATGATTAAGGTTTCAAAAGTTTAACGGACAGTTAAGGTTGCAAACTTTGAAAAGAAATATTAAGCACTACAACGAAAAACGATAACGAGTATTCAGATGACCGTGACGCGAATAAACTAAACACGGATGTCGGAGTTCACAAGTGTGTTAGTGCTGTATAATCTATATTATATTTAATAACGAATTTTATGTTTTTGAAGTGCACTAGCATTCGATTGGTAAACAATGTAATCACGAATTTCCCTCAGTTTGGCGCACTTTTGTATATTGGTAGCACTGTTATCTAGACAGGGGTGTGAAGAATGGATTTTCGTGCCTGAACGTGCTGTTCCCGTACCCCCGCCGGGTCGGTTCCTTCTATAACTACATCGGCGGCTGCGGTGGTCGACCCGTGTGTACAATCACTCACTACGGTGTGTGTAATTTGCTCATATTTGAAAAGAAGTATTATTTTATCCCGATTACGTGATAACGTACACCGATCATTTTGTTTGTTGTTATTGTTGTCGTACAGGAATCTTAGTGCAATTATTTTAGTTTAAAAATTAGTAAATTAAATAAAATTAATTTTTCTTAAATATTAAGTGTTATTTATATATATTTATAAATATATATATATATTAAGTTTTGTTGATCGAATCCAAAAGATTTATGCAAACGTTTTAAGGAGCCACTTCAATTAAATTAGCCTATGCTAAAACAGGTATTTCTTTTGGTCAAATAGATTATTATTAGTTAATTTTTTTATCGTTGTAGTTATTATTTATGAATTTTAAACAATTTTCTATTTATCAGTAACAATATACTAAGTATAAATTATTGTCAATTTTATTTTGGATTGAAATTATAATAGAAAGATTATTCAATACAATTGGAAATTTATTTTTCTCATAAAATTTTTTATAGTATTTACGAATTTGTAATTTCAATTTGTCAATTAATTTTAATAACTTCAATAATTGATTACTATAGTTTATGTACGCGAAAATGTTATTAGTTACGTAAAATGTAGAATACATCTTAACTTTTTCTCCGAATTCTTAAATTTAGTATCATTAAAAACATTTATTTATTTAACAGCTATTCATCTAATTTTATTTATTTAATTATCTAATACGGTTCAGAGTTTTTGTTTAACATCGTTATCAATGTTAAAAGTGACTTATTTTTCTCTTTAACCAGTTTGTCATAGATTTTCAAGGTTACCGTTTACACTTTTAAACATTAATCAAAGAGTTACAAATTATCAATACATATTTTTAAACATGCTGTGAGGATTCTTGAGTTTTAAAAACCCGCGTTTTGTATTTTGAATATTTACATTTTTAATCGCTACCTACACACTTGTTATGTAGGTGCTAAAAGATGATTTCTGCGTAAGTTTATAACATTTTTAAATGTAGTCTTACTAGTAATTTATTATTTGCCTACCTATTTTGTTTATATAAACTAGTTTATATTTTATGTGGTATGATCTAAGTAATATAAACAAGCAAGTAGCATGTATAAATGAAACGCCCATTGAGATTTAGAATGCAATAAAATGCATTAGCCAATAGTGTTAGGTATTTAGCCTCATAATCGTTTCAGCTTAAACCAATTTATTTAGAGTATATATTTAAATATTATTGGTATTATAAATTTGGTTTTTGTCTTACCTATCGCGCAAATAATCATCGGATAATAAATTGTATAAATATATGAGAAATTCTATTTAAAAATCTAAAGCATTAAATTGCCATACAAATTAATAAAAAGATTTTTTTATTTGATAACGAATAGTGCAGTTGCATTAAATGTGATTTGCTACTATTATTTCTAATAATTTCCTACGAATATTGAAAATTAATAGAAAATAACTGTATAATTAATAAACATTAATTAAAATAAGTATTGAAGCAGAATATATGATGTTAATAATAGTTATCTAAAAGCATTACGATTATTTTAGTTATGGAGTGGTACTAGGTATACGTCGCGTTCTAACTTTTTTTTAGTGAATAAAAAAAATGGTTTTATAAAATTACCTTTTTGTAATTAGTAGTAGTGAACATTCCTCTAATAAAATATTTTGGCTACATAATTCTTCTTTTTCTTCTTCCTCGCCTTAATCCCAACTACTTGGGGTCGGCCACCCTTATCCTAAACTTCCACTTGACACGATCTCCCACATCATTTACGCTCACATCAGCCGTCCTCATATCGCATTCAATAACATACTTCCATCTCTTTTTTGATCTTCCTTTACCTCTTCTTCCTTCAACATTCATTTATATGACTGTTCTTACAACTTCCGATTCCTCTCTCCACATAACATGACCAAACCATCTCTGTCTATTTTCTCTCTTATCCACGATTGACGCTACACCTATACTCACTTTTATATGCTCATTTCTTATCCTATCTACTTTAGTCGCTTCGCTTATCCATCTAAGCATTCTCATTTCTGCTACACTCATTTTCTGCTCTACTTATCAACTGCCCAACACACTGAACCATACATCATAGCTGCCCTCACTATAGTCTTGTAGGATTTACCTTTCAGCCTCATTGGAGTTCTTTTATCGCAAAAGACGCCAGACGCTCTTTCCACTTCAACCACCCGCACTTAAATCTGTGTCTTACATCCTCTTCAATACCACCACTCTTTTGTACAACTGACTCTAAATACTTAAAACTCTCCACCTCTCCAATCACGTCCTTGCCTATTGTCACTGACCTCCTCATTTCACCTACCTCGTGTTCTCATTTGTCAAACTCGTACTCTATATACTCTGTCTTACTTTTACTTATTCTTAAACCCTTTTCTTCAAGACCTGATCTCCACACCTCTGGCCTTTGATTAATTTCCTCCCTATTTTCTCTTATTAACACTATATCTTCAGCAAATAACATGCACCATGGTCCACTCCTTGTATTTCTCTAGTAATTTCATCCATCACTATAGAGAATAAATAATGACTTAAAGCAGAACCTTAGTGCACTCCTACTCTTATCCGAAAACTTTCTGATACTCCTACGCTTTTTACCCTGGTACAAGTGCCATCATAGATATCTTCTATTGTATTAATGTACCTTTTCGGGACTCATTTTCTCATTAATGCCCACTTTAAATAAATCCAAACTGGTTTTTAGATACCGATGTCTCATTTCTTATCTATTACCTTTTCCCAAATTTTCATACTATGACTCATAAACTTTATGCCTCTATAATTTCCACACTTCTGTATGTCACCTTTACCTTTAAATATTGGCACCACAATACTATTCCTCCATTCATTTGGAATTTTCCCTTCTAATAAGATTTTATTTAAAAGTTCCTTCAACCACCTTATGCCAACACCACCTAATATTTTCCGTACTTCTACTTCTACTTCATCTGGTGCTACTGATTTATTCTTTTTAATTGATGCCATAGCCTCCCATACCTCTTTCTCACTAATTAAATCTACCAGTCTTTCATTCCACGAGATATCCTCTAATGTCTCTTTTGGGTACTCCTCATTCAGTAATTTTTCAAAATACTCTTTCCACCTTTTTTTCACACCATCATCACTCAAGAGTACTTTATTATCAACACTTTTTATACACCTTATATAATGATAATCTTTAGACCTTTTCTCTCTTACCTTTTGAAGTTTATAGATTTCTTTCATGTCTTCCTTTGTTCCTAGCCTATCATACAACTCATCATACCTCTTAAACTTCGCCTTACTTACTGCACACTTATTTTCTTTGCACAAACGTTTATACTCCATCTAATCTTCTCTCCTTTTGCTCTTCTGCCATACTTTAAATTGCTTTTTCTTACTCTCTATGATTTTTTGAACGTCCTCATCCCACCATCAAGTTTCCTTGTTTCCTGACATTCTACTCCTACTCTCATCAACACTTTCCTTTGCAGTATACTTTACACAACTAGCAAATCTATTCCATACATCATTTATGTCTCCCTGGACATTCCACACCGACCTCTCTTTTACCGCCTTTACAAAATCTTTTTCATTTTCCCCTTTCAATTTCAACCATCGGATCTTCGATTTTTCCCCCGTGTTTCTTCTATTTTTGTTTATTACCGGAAAGAGAATAAACACCACAACTCCAATACCATCGGTCTATGTTGTGTAGTTACACTCTCGCCTGGTATAACTTTACAATCTTTTACTCGCTTTACGCTCTCGCTCTTGTATTTTGGCTATATAATTGTGTTATGTAATATGTTACGAAATTTTAAGTTTTTTTAATAATTGAAAACACCGTCAGCGACGAAAAGTAAATTCAATTTTGATTTCAATTAAAATTTAGTCTATTTTTGCATTACTGTCCAAACAATCGCTTGTAGTTTTTACAGCTTATTCTTAATTAATATTCATTTGTTTTTGTTTAGTCATACAAAATTGCATATATTAGCTTACGATTCAGATTAATGAATCTATGACGACGATGTTCTATCAATTTAATGCTTGTTAACGGTTTGCACTTTTTAATTGCGTAATCATACTAATCGTTAAATACATCAATGTTTGTTGGTAGGTATCGAGTTGAATGTGACACCGCGTTATGTTAATTGTTTAGCGATTATTCTAATCTAAAACGCAATTGGGTCGGTAATCGTTGAACTCGCCAGTGATTTTTACAATATTAAAGGAACAGTTCTTTTTCAAATTAATACCGAATTTAATTAGCAGTTTAACTCAATTGATTATTTTTAATATTATTCGTTTGAAATTGCATACCGACACAGAAACTAGTAAGTCGTAATCACCTCAAAATTTTTTTAATACTACTAATAATTAATTTGCTTTTGCATTCTTCTCTAAACAAATGTATAATTTTGTGATAAGTTATTATGCAACTTTATAGCCGACTAAATGAAATTAACATACGAATAGATTGTATTCTACATCAGTGTTCGTTGTAAATGAGTTGTTACTTAGTTGAAATGTATTAAATGGATAGTTTAAACGTGAATAGACATAATTGTAGTATTTCATTATGAATATTTTATATAATATTATGAACTCTAATTAAATTATACAAAACATTTAAGTGCCATGTAGATGATTATAATATTAATCTAGTTAGTTAATATTTTTATAGATGAATGTGTTAAAGCTTTCACGGATTGTCTTGTTGCTTGAAGTGCTTGAGGATATATCAAACATGGTTATATTTTTATAGTTTTTCTAAAAAAAATATTTTTCTAGTGTAATAACTACCTACACCAAGCAATAATTGCCTAGTATAAAATTCAATTAATTGCATTTTGCAATTGCAAAATTCATTAATTATAACATCTATTAGAAATTTTAACATTGTTTCAAAGGTTTGTTAGTTGTATAAATGATTGCGGGAAACTTAGTTTTTATTCGTCTGTTTGGAACAATTTTTGTATAGTATTTTTCTTGTGTGTCCTATGAAATATAAGACAAATCTGTTGTAATTAATATTTTATGAATATAACTATAACCTACTCATACTACCTTTTAGTTTAAATGCCTCGTAGTCATCGCTAGATTTGAATAAAGAAGTAAACATACTACGGAAAATCCATAACTGATTTCATTGAACAATTTTATGAAATGCAAAAATAAGTTTATTACATAGTAATTTATGAAATACTTACTATATTTCGAATTCGTAAAACATTAAGCCTACCGGCCTGGTGAAGTCGGGTACGTATATGTATCTGAGGCGGTACAATTAGTGATAGGCACTTTCCAGTCTCTCTCGCGGTTTTCTAGTAGATAACTTTCCGGGATAATGCCATACATTAGGGACAATACGTCTAGAACTTATCCTCTCAGAGATGTACATAGTCATAATATGACTGTTTAAATAAATGTATCCTAAAAGAACAGTTGCTTATTCGAAAGTGATACGATTTATTTTTCATTAAAATAAATACTTTAATAAAAAATGATAAAGAAATTATTTAAAGGCCATTGAATAAAAATTATTTTCATGGAGTTTAAATTATTATTTTTTATTAATTTATCAAATCAATTTTAAACATAAAATTGAAGTATAATTAGTGGAGGACAGCTCATGCGCACCTCTTGTCTACACTTATAATTAATGATGTAACAATAGAATTGTCTTGATAACAGGAATATTTTCTTTATTAAATTATTTCTTTATGAATGTTTAAGTCAAACTTGAAAATTATTTAAAGTTTTCAATATTTATTGAAAATTTATGATGGAAAAATAATTATCTTTCACTTGGTTGATATTGGTTGCATGATTACACAAATATTAATAGAAACATTTTTGTTCTAAGACTAAAAAATAATAACTGTCCCAAAATAGTTAAAATTATAGATGCAATTGAATGATTTTGAGTAAAAAAATGTTCTGTATAATTACTATAAAGCAGTTTTAAGTTTGCTGTCAAGAATAAATTTAGATACTTGTAAATATAACTTTAAAGCAAGACCGTATCTGAGGGTACAAAGGTTCCGTACACCCCCCCCCTTACACAGATTTTTTTTCTTCAAAATAACATATACAGGATGTTCAGTAAGTAAGGAAACAGGTTAGTTGTTACAATCAAGGAGAGTAATAGAAACCAGTTATTTTACTTACTGAACACCTATATATATTTATACATATTTTGCAGCATTCCCGAAGAATATTTTGGATACGGTCATGTCCTAAAACGTTTGTAAACGTAAAATTGGATAATTGGTTAATTTTTATTTAAAGTAGGCTATATCTCAAATCTCGTTTGATCGAGTTATTTGATGTTTAAGAAATAAATTTGGAATTGGTCAATTAAAACTTATAATATATAGTTCTTGGCATCATTTGAGTATACTTAAATAATACTAAAACGATTTAGTTTGCTACTTTTAACTCATTATTACACTTAAATACTCAGTTAAGGTATAACTTAGACAATTTTATTTTTAACTGTGAATTGCGTCATTGACTATGTTTCTGCTATTCGTATTCTCTTCAAATTTACGCCTTTAACTTCGAAATTTAATCTTTTGGCTAGATCTTCCGATTTTTAACATTAGTTACTACAAAATTATTAGTCACGTAATAATTCAGTATTAATTTTCAGGATAAATAGAAAATGAAAATGATTTGTTTTGTCAAAAACTGGCTGTTACAACTTTCACTGAAAAATATATCTGTGTGCTTCGTTAAATGACATCGTAATTCATACATCATATTCAGGTAAAAATCATATTAGGCCATAAGCCTAAAAAGAAAACAATTACAAAATTTATGTCGTACTGAAATACTAAACCTATCCTATTTCTATTGTACTATCTTGTTAAGAAGATGCATGCTGTACAATGTATGTTAGACGTGATGAATCTTTTTATTAAATACTGCTACTTTGGACTACAGTTGACGGCCTAAATTAGTTTTTGTTTTTCATTGAAAGTTAAAATTTGTCTGTCATTTTAATAACTCATCTTTTTAAATAAATTTTAGATTTTTAATGAAATTAATTATATAAGTTATTGAGCTGTTTAATATTATAGATTATTTATTTTTGTTTTAAATAGGTTTTATAAAAAATCGCAATGTTCAACTTTATGAAAAAAAGTTCGAGTTCTCAAAATAATGGAGTAAACAATGGCAGCAGTTCTGGATATGGATCACAGGGTTCAAATAATAATCAAGTTGAAGAGAAAGAACAAAGAAAAAAAATGAAAAAACTGCGCAAAGAAAAAGAAAAAAAAGAGAAAGGAAGCTTTAGCATGTCTTCTGATGACTTATTGAGATTAGATGAAGTATGTAGTGCTTAGTACTTATTTAACTTAACTATTCAACTTGCTAAAATAGATTTATTATGTTAGGTTAGAAAATCTCTTAAATTACGTAGTCGACGAAAAGAAAAAGAAAAACTTCCTAGTGGTATAACTGCAGATTATAGTGCTAATTTCTTTGCACCATTAAATCGTGATGAGATTGATGAAATAACTATCACACCTCCACTTCCACCCCGACGTGGGATTTTAAAACCACCTCCTATTTTGGAACATGGTCCAATACAAGATCTTGATTCAGATTCTTTACTACAAACTAACACTCTTAAAAATGAATTGATTGTTTATGAAAATGTTCCAAGAGTGTCAAGTATTGATAGTTTAACTGATTCAACTACTAATAGTAGTTTTGCTACCCCATTTAATTTGAGTCCCTCTGGAAATGAATATTTAACTGATGAATTTGATGAAAACCTAAAACTGCCTTGTGTTCCAATAATAAAAGTTGAACCTAGAATTTTAGCTATTAACAGACGAGCTGGTCCAGGTAGTGATTTTGGTTTCTCATTAAGACGTGGGCTTGTTTCTGAAAATTCTTCAAAAAATCTGAAACCTGTAATATTTGCTGAACCGGGACAAGATAAATCTCATTTTACTGGACTTCTTCCTGGAGACAAACTATTGGAGGTCAATGGAACTTCAGTTTCGGAAAAAAACAGAGATGAAATTATAGACATGATAAAATCTTCAGAAACATCTGTTACTGTTAAAGTAATTTTATTTACAATGTTCAAATCTTAATTATTCAAACAGCTATTGAAATAAATATAATAATAATTACTATACATTTTAATTCTAGGTGGAGCCAGTAATAGAGCTTTTTGAAATAAGCAAAAGTTATCTAAAAGGTCAAACAACTAATGGTTTTCTGGTGCGTAAAATTTCTCTTTTTGATAAAAAAATACTATTTAAGTTTATTAGTATGATATTTATTCTTTAAAATATTATTGTTATTTATTTATAATTGATGGGCAAAGCCCAGTTATAAATATTATTTAATTACATATATCAGAGTCTATAAACTTTTCAACCATTGACTTTATCTTAAAAAATCTCCAAAATATGTTTAACATTATTTTAAATTACTCATATTAAAATATCTTTAGATGTTTTGCATTTGTGATGTGGTTCGGTTAGAATTTGATAAATCACAGTATTTTATTGTAATGTTTCTATAAATTGTATAAGTTATATGCTCATGAATGGGTGACCATAAAGAAGTTTTAACATTGCTGAAAAGTTTCATGTCCTAGTGCAAAAGGAAATGGGAAACTACTGTTTTTAACATTTTTCATTTTTATACTCCAGTTTAACTTCTACTAGTTGGTGACAAAGCAACCTTCTAGTTGTTTATTGGATATCGTAGTAGTAGTAAATTTTGTAACAGAACGATCTTGAGTTTCTTTTGACTTAATGGATTTATGTTTTAAATTAACATAAACTTAGTATTTCTGAATTTAAAATTTTTAAGCTTTGATTAAAGCATTACTATTCTATACACTTTGCTTAAATATACTTTGTATGAATTTATTAATTGTTGTACTATTTGTATAAATATTAATACCCAAATGATTTTTTGAAGTTATGCGTTAATAATTTGAAGGCATTTGTAACAAGAGAAGTGTATGGTATGCAACCTTTTATTGAGATATCTATTCTATATTTTTCGGTTATTTTTTTTAAAAAAATTTCCAAGTATAATAAATGAAATACCTGGAAATTATTTCATTACAATTATAAATTACTATATATTTTCAGGATCATTACTGTGTGATTGGGTTAGATTAACCCAATCTAACCCAATCTAACCCAGTTAGATTAAAACTGTTTATGGTATTATTTCTTACTAAAAGATAACTTTTTCTTTTTTTTAATTTTCAACTAATTGTAAAACTATTGTTTCAAATTAGAAAATTATATAAAAAGTTATATTATTTCATTATGGGGTATTGTAAATTTTTATATCTCTCTAAAACTGTATGATTTTTCAATTTATATATACAGAGTGGAGCAGATCTAACTGACTACTCATATAACTTATTAGTTATATAACATTTTATATATATATATTTTTTTAATCAATTTTTACAGTATAAAACTATATCTAAAATATCTTTTATGTTATTTTTCGCAATTACAAAAAATATTTTAAAAATTAATTTTTTTAAAGATTTGAATATAAACATTTTATAAATAAATTTTAAAGAAAATTTTTTATATCAAAAACTATTATTTTAACTCAGTAGTTATGTTTATACAACATTTTGAAATTTTGATTTTTTTTACAATTTTCCTATAGTTATCAAATGTTAGTTCTTATAATGTAAAGTACAGAAGTAAACACTGTTTAATTATGTTATTTACTGGTAACAATACTGGATTTCTTTTCCTTGGATAATAATAACGTTTAACGCGCTTTTTACAGAAATGGTTATCTTAATCTTTATTATGAAAGTTAGAAACATTACCGTATGTTAACTACAATTGTTCAATGGTTAGCCAAATTAAAAGTGATAACAATTATTAATTTGCGTGATTCTATTATTGATATCATATTATTATAGGATATTTCCTAGGAGATTTGATAATAAATGCCCTTCACTACTATTCATGTTAAAATTTATGAAACATGAACCTATTCAATTAAAAACTCAACATGTTTTAGATAACGTTTTTATAATTTTTGTTAATAAACTAAATTTTACTACTACTTGTTTTTTCATGTTAATTACAAATACTTATTTAAGTGTTAATAATTTTCATGGAAAAGAAATCGCTTACTGTTACCAGTAAAAACCTAATAAGTGTTTACTTCCGCAATTTACATAATATGGATTAACATTTGATACCATAGGAAAATTGTAAAAAAATCAAAATTTAACAAACTTTAAATGCCGTATAAACATAACTTCTGAATTAAAATAAGAGTTTTTGGTATTAAATTTTTCTTTAAAATTTATCTATAAAATGGCTATATTCAGATCTTAAAATAAATTTTAATAAAAAAATCAATTTTTTAAATATTTTTTTTAATTATGAAAAATAACATAAAACATATTTTAAATATAAAACAGTATAAAATGTTATGTAGATCACAAGTTATATGAGTTGTCAGTTAGATCTGTTACACTCTGTATATATACATAATTAATTTTTTTTGTAAAAATATTATTGTTTTAATTATTATGTCCATATTAGAGTTATTAATTTTTCCAGTTGATTAGTTATTTTAAAATATTTTTGTTTTAATTAAAAGACTTTTCGATCAATCCAAGGAAACATATTTACACTTGTGATAGTAATATTATTAAAAAAAAATGAATAATCATTGAATTATATATACTCTTAATTTTTAATTGTCACTAAGTTAATTATTCTAAGATTTCGCGTTAGTATCAAGAGATTTTAGTTCAACTATTCTTTTGCTGTTAAATTACTGTCTTGTATTTAAAAAAAAAATCAATTTTTTAAATTCGTTCCACGTGTGCTAATGTTAATATAATGTAATGTGTCTGGTTTCTTTCAAACACGATTCTCTATTATTTCTAATGGAAACTTAAAGAGTCACAATGCATGTGCTATCGATTAACAGCACCATCATTATCTATATAATTTAACAGAGTATATATTGTAAAATGCATGTTGACTACTGTTGTTTGGTTAAGTAAGTACGTGATCACATTGTGATGAGTACACCGTAATATTTCAAGGCCATAGAATTTGTCAGATTGCAATTTGTCTTCATTTTTTAATACTTAATTGACTATATATATTATATATACATACAATTTTCAGTTTGGAATTGACGAAATATTAAAGCATATCCAGTATAACTTTTTTTAAGGCAGAAAGATTTAATTTCTAATTTGCGCCTGATATGTTATCGTTTCAAAATATTAGAGATCCATTAAATACATTTATTTATGACTGTAATTGTTCATGCAAATATTTGTTTGCATAGATTGCAGAAGTTTATTTAAATATAAGTTGTTAGGGTAAATAGCGAAAAAAGTATAATATACTTTTTACTAATATATCTTTTACAACATATTATGTTATTTAATACTTAATTCATTATTAATCGTGTACTTACTCAATGTTCTACAGCGATTCCAATAATATCATGCTCTTTTAACTTATTATGACTAGCCATTAATTGGCTTTAGTTTTAATTTAGGAACGTCAATTGGTATAATCTCTAGTGCACGGGATGCTAATGTGATGTTCAATTGTTGATTGCGTGTTGTGTTTTTCTTTTGTTGGTAAAAAACCGTCTACGTGATTCACACAATATCTTGTGCAACCCTTCTCTATTGCAAGTAGCCGATAAATCTCGTGTGACAAAACGTGCCCAAACGTTTAAAATTCAACACATCTGGCAACCCTCGTGGTTCTTACAACGTTTTTAAAGAATACTGTTCAATAAACATATATATTGTAGTTGAACATGCCAACGGGTTTTAGTCGAATCATCATCTCCTCTAATAAAAATTACTCGCAATTAAACTTGTACTCGGCTTGATTATATGATTAAAACAAATTACAAAAAGGAACTTGTAATTTAAGACTTACCGTAGTGTCTTCATCGTCTTCTTTTTTTAGTTCGTGCATGAACACTGGTTTATTTTCATAGTTTTTTGAAGTATGAGAATTCAGTTTCTGTAATGCCGACAAGATAATAATAATATTATAATTTAACATTATGTGAACTCGACATTAGAAAGTTCACGGCGTATTTTACTGACTTTTATTTATATTCTTAATATGACTGGCTTACGTTGATTTTAGTTGAAAATCAACTATAGGTTGCCCGTGATGTGTTTATATGGACAATCTTGTAAAATAAACATTAATCTTCCGTTATCGATTTTTTATTTGATCATATTATTACTCCAACAGTCGTTAATTGAGCGATAACAAATAAGTACAATGTCAATAGCATATTTTTATTATACGCGTTCATTGTGTACTATCTCGTCGTTAACATTAATTGACCGTTTATTATCATTTCTCGATTAGATTGTTTATTTTTTAACACTCATAAATTATGTCGTTTTTACATAAGACGACGAATGGATCAATATTTTTCTATTCTAAGAGCATTGAGATCATCGTATTTTTGTCGCTTATTTACAATTAAGAAATGTTTTACTTGGCGCAGTTTTTACTACATCACTGAATGAATTTATAAAAACTCATTCACTCGCGTAAGTTTTCGGCGTTCGCAAAGTTCACATGTTAAACTCGTCTGCTCTAAAAATACCAATAACTCGAATTGTTCGTGCACATAGGAAGTCGTAAGGTTTTGCATTGCATTTCTATGAATTCTATCGGAGTTGAATAATTTATGAGTAAAATCATTATTGTCATCAAATAAATATCACACTGAATTCATGACAAGTCGCGTGTTTACTGTTATGGTCGAACATTTCTCGAGTGTAGATAGGGTTTTCTTAACGGGCGCCGTTAATTTATCAATTAAGCTGCCGCTTGTGAGTTTCATTTAGGACGTCGCATGAATCGCCGCAGTTATCCCCACCTCACACAGTTTTGCCACGGTAAAGAACGGCCAACGTGAGTCCCGTCGACGGCTCGAACAGTACTATCCGAACCCGCACGCGTTCCGCTCAACAAGTGTCCGCCACATCGCGTCCATAGTTCCTTCGTAAATGCTGTTCCTACGGTGAACCAACTTCATGATTTATGATTACTTGCGCCGGTGTTTTTTTTTTATCGCTCTCGCGTCCCATTAAGTACGTTAAGTGACCGATAAATATCGTCTAAATGTTAACCATGTCTCCGGGCGCGTTGCAGGGCCAATCGGTTCCAGGTCCTAAAGTGGTCGGTGAGCTGCTTAAAAACACCAATTCCGAAGGGCCTGTTTCCTCGGCGCCATGTTCGCCAACTCGAAGGCGCATCCCCGAAGTGTCCGGTGCTCCGGTGGCCGCCATGGTTTTGGCCAAAGATATGGCCACGGGCCGCAAGTCTACCGCAGGTGGTGCGATTCAGAGTCCCGGTAAATTATCCAGGACGTCTGCTATACCCGTCCGACCGAAACCGGTACCGCCTTCGCCAACCGTACGGAAAAAAAAGGCCGCTGACAATTGCGGCAGAAAACTCAAGACTTGCCAACGGCCCACGTCCGTTGAACGGCCAGTTGTCGAGGTATTAACAATGTAATGTAAGGGAAACCAGTCGGGGTCAACGACTACTGGTTTTGTAGAAAATGTCTAGTAGTCGCCCTTATGTTCCATGAGATTTTCCTTTGACACCTACCAGTTTGCGGGTAATTCTGTTGCGTTATAATGTTGCTGCGAGTGCAATGTCGTTGTACTCTCAGTGCGTTTTAAAGTGAATATTTTTGCCCTGTGCGATTATTGCGTAGGTTTACTGAACTCGATTCCAACGGATATGTTGCAAAAATAGCGATAATCGCATCAACCGTGTTGTACCGAAAGCTGTTTTGACCTTTTGGATTTGATATCAATTAATATCGATGATATTGTACTTTTTTTTAAATGTATTGTATTAACAACATTATTTCGAGGTATTAAATACATTTCATAACGCAGTTACACTAAAGAGGTTATATATTTCATTTAAGATTATCACTACAATATTCTCATTCATTAGCTGCGAAAATAGTTTCATACAATTTTTTAATTAAGCTCGCGTTTTTGTCCTAGTGAACATGTTTTTTTCCAACATATTAGTATAATCTGTATTATTTGCGTTAAGCAATATTCTCTCCGGAGTAAATAAGTTACAATATAATTGATGTACAGAATGTAAAATTACAAAAATTATTCCGAGAATTTCTAAGACAATAATCAGAATGCTTAATTTGCCAAAAAAATCATTCACTTCTTCTTTCTATCGAATTACCTTTTCGATTGTGATTTTCGAGAATCGTTGTGTTTACATTATTTGTTTAATGCGCAATATTAAACAAATTCTCTATAACTATTGATGTTAGTTAATCTCTTTTTCAGTACTTCCGTTTCCCAACATAATTCCTCACACGTTAAGCACAATTTTCTATTTATTTAATCGATTTGTGACAGTATTTACCGGAAAACAAGTTTCAGTTTCAACGTGGTTTCCGTCCGTTAAGGTCCAACGAATTTGACCATCAAATAAAGCGCTGTAAAGCTCCACGTTACTTATAATTCCAATGTAAACATAACTAATTCAAATAATTTATGTCCAGACTGTGAAACATAACGCTAAATAGTATACATGTCTTATTAATTCTAACAAGATCTGTTTCTAATGTTCTATATTGATTACTATATATAAATGTGATTTTTTCAAACAACTCAGTAAATATAGAACTCATTTGTTGTGTTAGAAGTAGCTATACTCTTAAGTAGTTTTTGACATCCATGGTTTCCACAACGTGGGTCATTGTCGCCTAGTGGTGTATTGTCTTCTAATGAGTTGATTATAGTCGATTGAACGCTACGAATATGAGTCCATATAGTTAAAAGAATAGCCCTTGAATTGTTTTTTTGTACATAAATTTACTTAACCATCGTTTATTAGATATTTTTAACAAACAATGGCATTTTAATAACGAATCTGATTATTATTTTTTTATAGAACAACGCCCACGGTAGTATAATTTTTGGTTTCACTATTTTCTTTCTTTTGCGTTGGAAATAATTATAATATATTTTACATAAAAAATATATTAAGCAGTTTCTCTTTGTTAATGAGTTTTACTTCAGAAATTGTATCGAGAAAAAATAATTGAATGATTTTTTCCAAAGACCACCACTGTGTAACTATCGGTATTTATTTTTTGTATTGTTTTTATTTTAATTAATTGCACTGTCATATTTATCTTAGTGACGCGTGTTTATTATACTAACAATATACATATGTGTTGCTCAACTGAACTAACTATTTAAATAGACGATTTCCTGTGTTTTTTCATCATGCAATAATGAAATGGTTAAATTTTTTATGGAAATTTACTTAATAATAAATATAAAGTTGTTTTGAATAAAGAAGGCTCGTCCGTTGACTTTTGGTGTATTTTATGATCTCGTTTAAAAAGTGATCCACGAAAATAATAAAGCACACACGTAGAGCATTAAAGTACGGAATCCTACTGTTTTTTGAAGTAGTTCACATAACGGACATTTATCTCTATGGATCTGATATTCTTCTTAATACGACAAATAGTGTTACCGTTTAGTTTATTACCTGCGCTAATCGTGTTATTTACTTGCTAAGAATGATCGGTAGCACGTCAATCATCATTTTGTTTTATTGGAAATATATCCGGAAAATGGTCTATTACAACATTCATTCTATTTCATTGAATCCATTTTAAACATTATCTAGCTATTAAACAGTATTATTATTCAATAAAAAATCAATAAAACGTATAAATGTTGAAATATATTTATGTCGAATAATTCGTACCAAAAAAAGTTTATTAGGACTGTACAAAGTACTTAAGAGTTTTTATACTTGCCACTATTGGCAAATTAAAAAAAAATAAAAACATAAAAGTTAAATAAACGAGTCATCCAAAGATATGGTCTCAGAACTCAAGTGTTTCTAGTTCTAATGTGATGAGTTAAATATTCAAGTACGCCGTAGTGTCATAAAATGCTTCAAATTTATTGACGTTTTGTGATAATTTATGTAAATATATTTTAACCTATTACTAGTGTTACTTGTCTTATAATAACAACAAAAAAACGATAGTATTATAATTATGATAAAATTGTTTCTGGCGAAAAGAAAACAATAAGTAGGTACTAGTTTTAGTTATTTATGCAAACTGCGATACAATTCATGTTTATGCGATAATTTATCTATTAGATTAAAGAATTTAAGCATTATAGAATTAAGTATCGCAAAGTTTGAAAACATGATGTTTTATGATTAAAAAAATAAATAATTGCGCCATTGTTTTGATTTGTTTTTAAATTTTCTCAGTATATTTTTTAATGCTTGGTTTCGATTTTATTATAATTTTTTTTGTTGTTCTTTAAAATATCGTTCAAGTCTGGTATATAATTAATCTTCTAATAAAATAATAGCAATAATTGATTTCATGCAAATTATAGTTTCTCTAAAATATTAAAGAATGGAAAATTTTGTGTAAAAAAAACATATTTTCTTATCATACGGCAACGCGGTCATTGACCATTACGGGCTAGACATACTGACACGCTTTTTTCTCATCATTATCTCACACACCGTTTTAAACATTTTTTATTCCACTGTATGTGTTAATTTACATTAGATTTTTATTCCTAATTAACCCATTGTTATTATAGTAGTAGTGTGATTTGATACAGAAAAAAATTACTTCTCTTATTTCTCTTATTAAAAATATATTTTAATTCAAAAGTTGCCTATGTTAATTAATCCAAGTTGCAAACGAAACGCTTTTATTACAACATTGAACTTGTGTAGTTACCCTGCGGTACAAATGACTTGGAATACTTTCAACACTTTCTTCGCTTTCTCCTGATAATTATCGTGGAATGTGACCGCACCACCCGAAGTGGTTAAAATTCGCTTTAAAATCAATCGTAATAATTAGTGATGTGTTAGGTGTTATTACAATCGATATCAGTGTATACAATTATTGTTGATTATTTTTTCATGTTAATCATATTTGTGTTTTATTCTATACAATAGACCTCTACAAAACTCGATGTGGATTTCATCAATGATCAGCTGCCGCCAGAAGTGGAGTCCAATGACTCTGAAGCATTTTGGTTGGTTCATAGCGATGGATTTTCACCTGTGCAATATTCCAAGAAGAAAAGCCATGATGAAAATGGAAGGGTTTTGGTAAAAGTTTTCGGTGGAAAAGAGTACACTGTTGATGAAGATAGTTTGGAAAAAGTAATTTTTTTTTTTAGTTAAAATAAAATAGTGTGTAAGTATCAAATTTAAATGTAAAATTTGTGACTAAAGCCTATAGTTATTTTCCATAATTTTCTATTACGACGAAGAAAGGATAACTTGTTTTTCCCATTTTAATGGTACTCTTATATTTCTTAAATTTGTCTGTTTTACACTGTCAACTAAAGACCAATTGTTTATATCCGTCTGTGTTAATATTTTTGAACCAAAATGTACTGCAGCTAATGTGTCATTGATATTTCTTAGCTTAAGTTAGAGCGACCCTTTTAGAGCTATTACCGTCTTTTCTGAAAAAGAAGTTACTTATTGAACTTATTGCAGGTTAAAATACAAGTTGTTTAGATTATGATATATTTTAAAGTATCTTTTTCTTAGGTATATATATATATATATATATATATATATATATATTTAAATCTTTGAGGAATCAACAATGAAAGATTTTTTTGTTTTATATTCTCACCATTGTTTTTATTTACTATTCTACTATTTGTGTTTAGTTTTGTTGGGCATAATCAAAGCATTCAAAGATCAATGAATTTTTTATATTAATTAATTTTTTCTATTGTGACGCAGTGAGTTTTATTTGTAACCTACATTAACCTACCGTGGGAAAACCCTCTTGAGTATAATAAGTGAATATTATTTTAAAACTTCCATATTAAATAATAAATTTTGATTATTAGGTCATATAGATACCTTTTATTAATATTCAAATAAACCACATGGGTGGAAATCTGACTAGACCATTAAAGTGGCTTAATAAAGTCTATTTCATTCAGTGTGTGCTTAGTAATTTTTTATTATGTTGTATTAAATCATAGCAGATTAAATTTATTTTAACTTTTAGATGAACCCAATGAAAATGCAATTAGTTGATGATTTAGCACAGTTAAACTATATGAATGAGTCAAGTGTATTAAATGTAATTCGCAGTCGCTATGCTTCTAATCTTATTCATACTTACTGTGGACCTACAATGTTAGTTGTGAATCCTGGAGCTCCTCTTAATTTATATACAGACAAAGTAAGAAGTGATAATCACTACAATTAAACATTTATGTAATCAAAATATATATTACCATAGGTGATGGATATGGTAAAAAATCTCCATAAGATCAATAAACAGCCACCTCCACATATTTATGCTCTTGCTCAGTCAGTCTATAAAACAGCTGTAACTACACGCAGAGATCAGTCTTTGATTCCTATGGGATGTCAAGCAAGTGGTAAAACAACTTCATGTAAACATATTTTACAGTATCTTTTGAAAATTGCAGCTTCTCCTAGCAAAGTATATTTGATTTTTGAAAATATTAATCACTATATTACTTTTGAATATTATTTAACTGTAGAAATAAATATTTCAGGTTGTTACATTAGAAAAATTAGACGCCTTGTGGACAGTTTTAGAAGCTTTTGGAAATGCGGCTATTACAAACAATCCAAATGCTACTAGATCTGTGCAATTATTCAGTGTTGATCTTGATCAAGGAGGGCAAATTGCCTCAATGTCCATTCAAATGCATTTTTATGATAAATGGAGGCTTATTGATCACCCACCTAATGAATACTCATTTCACGTATTTTACTATTTATTAGCTGGTGTTGAGAATGTTCCTAGTTTGCGAAAAGAATTGTTACTAGATCAAATCACTGATGATTTAAAGGTTTTTGCTTTAAACATTAACTTTCCTTATTGTTTTAGTAAATTATTGTATGCTTATAGGGAGTTGACAAAAGTCAAGCTGCGGTAGAGTTCACTAATTTGCAGTCAGCGATGATGATAATTGGTTTTACTAATGTAGAACTCAAAGCAATTTTCTCAGTTTTAGCTGCTATAATACATCTTAATCACACTAAAATTGTGAAGAAAGGTGAAATTTTTTAAAATTTAATTTATTAATATTATATGAAATCACCTTAGTAAAAAAAATTATTCTTTATTTTATTTTATTTATAGATAGTATATACAAAGATAAAGTACAATGGACTTGGAGTAACTCTGATGCTGCTAAAAGAGCTGCAAAATGTCTTGGAGCTGGTAACTCTGATGATTTATTCAGTTTAGTTTTTCCTGACCTGGAATCATTTGATGAATTTGATATTAGTGGTCAATTGAATTCTCTGATCATGGGGCTTTATACGGAAACATTTAATTTAGTTGCATCTATAGTTAACAGGTATGCAATATTCTTATTAAAATTTTAAACAATTTATAATTACAAATAAGATTACTGTTAAATTGAATTTTATGTAAATTTAGAAAATTAGCTCCTTCAGTGCATTCTTTATGTTCAATTCTAATACCAGATTACCCAGGATATGTTATTAAACCTCAATCAACTTTAAACATGTTTGATTTTTGGACTCATTACTTATACGAAAAGATATTGTCTAGCTATCACAGTCATGCTGTTGTAACACCATTAGAAAAATATAAAGTTGAAAAAGTTGAAACAACTGCTAGTTATGAAGCTGAATTTTGTGCTGAAGATAACATGTTAAAATTATTTGTTGGAGCTAAAGGAGCAATTGGGTTTGCCCGTAGCTCATCAATGGTAGATTTAAAACATGAAGCACACCCTGGATTACTTAGAATTCTTGATGATACTGCTGGCGACACAAAATCTACAGATAAAGATCTAATTGAAAAAATAAACAGTTTAATTAAAGAAAAATGTTAGTTAAAACCTTTTATGAGATTTTAAAAATAAATTTAATTTATTTTATATAAGTATCAAAAACTTACCTTTTAAATTTTTAAAGTATTTAATCAGGTAATACTTATATATAATTACTTATATAATAAAATAATTATTTTATAAGAAGTAACTGTGAGGTACACTTGGAAAAATTGATAAAAAAAAAAAAGGGAAAATCCTATTCTAACTATTTCTTCTAAAGGGACTATTTTTAGGCTTTGATTTATTACATTTATAAATAATTTATAATGTTTATAATTATTATAAACATGATTTAAATTACAAACATTTGCAGTTAAATAAGCAATAGAAATATATGTATATTTTATTTTTAATTTTTTATCA